TATAATTTTGACTTTAACACACGTCTGAGAAAACTTCAAAGTTTGAAAATTCATGGGCTCGCTGGAGCCGACCCAGAGAACGGCAAATGTCTAGAAGCGCCAAGTTTTCTTTACTCTTTAACGTTGTTGTTGTCTTCGTCACCAAGTAAACCCTAGATCCACAATTTCAAAATTGAAAATTTTCTTCTTCTTCTTCTTCTTCGCGAATCTGTTTTCAAGTTTTTCTTTTTATATTCGATTCGGTTCCTTTCCATCTAAAAAAAATTCTCTTTTTCGTCGACGATTTCAGGCCATGTCTTTCTCCGATTCTGGATCGTCCTCTAATGGCGGAGATTACAAGAATTTCAGACAAATCACTAGAGAAAGTAAGCTTCTTTCACCTTTTCTCTTCCCAATTTTGGGTTTTCGAAATTGGGTTTTTGATTAGAGTTAGATCATTAGCCTCTGTTATAGGGTTTGTGTGGAAGCTTCTGGTTTCTAGGTTCTAGGGTTTCGTCGGATTAATAAAGAGAAATTTTATGGGTTTATGGAGTTTCGAATTAGGTTAACATGATCACAATAAATTAGAGGTTGTTTTTGTTAAACTAATTTCATTGAAGCAAAAACTTTGCATATCAGGAACATGAGGGTTTGGATTTTAGGTAATTATTTTGTCTATTTTGATTTCAGGATTACTCTATGAAATGCTTAGGCCAGAAAAAAATGGAAGCTCTAAATTAACTTGGAAGGTAATTTTTTTTTATCCAGCTTACTTATAAATTTACCTTAAAATCTTGGTTTTACTTTGGGTTGTTCATTGATTCACTGTGAATGTATTATTAGGTACTTGTTATGGACAAGTTCACAGTGAAGATAATGTCATCTGCTTGCAAAATGTCTGAGATCACACAAGAAGGCATTTCTTGTAAGAAATATCTTGTTCAGAATTTGAAGCGATCAATATTGTTCTTTTATCTTCTTGGCGTTTGATGTTTTGTTATATTTTTTCCAGTGGTTGAGGTTATAACTAAGCATAGACAACCTATGACTTCCATGGAAGTTATATACTTTATTCAACCGACCGAAGAGAAGTAAATAATTTTCCATCTTTGAGATCAATTTCTCGCCAATGAACTTTTTATGATTTTCTGAAGCTTTTGTTTTTGTTTTTTTTGCAGTGTTACTGCGTTTTTATCAGATATGACTGGAAAATCACCACTTTACAAGAAGTATGTAAATAATTTCTTCCTGTTTCACAAGTTCTTATATCTATGGACTGTCTTTTCTGATATGATTAATCCTTTTCTTTATTGTGGCTTTAGGGCTTTTGTTTTCTTTAGTTCGCCTGTTTCGAGAGGCTTAGTTAATCTCATTAAGAAGGACATGCGAGCGATGAAACGAATTGGGGCATTGAAAGAGGTTGCTTCTATATGCCACTTTTATATCTACATGCAATCTCACAAGATAGTTAAGATAATGTAAAATTGGATTTCTATATTATGCAGATGAATTTGGAGTACATTAGCATGGACATCCAGGTATCTTATACGTTTAAAATCCCGAATTAGTTGTGTCTATTCCTCAAGATTTGCATAGTTTGACAATTGTGATATCTGATAGTAAGTTTCGTGCTTGACCTACCAAGTTATTGATTTCTTTTCTTGAGGCCAAACTCCAATATAGCTTTCACGTCACTTCTATCAAACTTATAACAATTTAGAACATGCCTAAAAAATTCTGCAGTTTGTTAACGTTATCAAAAGCACTTTGTTTGTACGACAATGCTTGTGTTTTAACGACGTTATTAATTTGGTGTATATGTTGAAATCTGTTTACTTAATTGCTCGTATGTATTATGTCTCGGCAGGGGTATGTTACAAATAATGAAAATGCTTTAGAAGAACTTTTCAGTGACGATGAAAACCATCAAAGAGCAGATGCTTGCTTGAATGTGGTAGCTAAACGAATTGCTACAGTTTTGGCCTCGCTAAAGGTACGAGGCACAAATTTCAAAGCTTGTTTATTGATTTGGCATTCCTATGACAGTTCTTTAAATTCTCATGATATACAGGAATACCCCTTTGTTCGCTACCGTGCAGCCAAAGCTCTTGATGCCACAACAATGACAACTTACCGAGAGTTGATTCCTACAAAGCTTGCTGCTAGTGTATGGAATTGTCTGGCAAGATACAAACAGACAATCGAAGATTTTCCTCAGACTGAAACATGCGAACTACTTATCTTGGATCGATCCATAGACCAGGTCAGGATTTTCACTGAGACAATCAGCTCTGCTTGGTAATGTCATAGCCACTTAATAACAGAATAACTTTCTTATGCTTCTTAGATCGCACCTCTCATTCATGAGTGGACATATGATGCGATGTGTCACGATTTGCTTAATATGGAAGGAAATAAATACACATACGAGGTGACATTTTGGTTTCGCGTTCAAATCTTGTTAAAGTTGGTTATAGCTCATCACTACAGCATATGGTAATTTCCATTTTATTTCTTAGAGTATAGGTTCCGAGTAAAACTGGTGATAAACCTGAGAAGAAAGAGGTTCTTTTAGATGAAGAAGATCCCATTTGGGTGGAGCTTCGTGATGCTCACATTGCAGATGTATGTCGTGCTATATTATCTTGCCTCCTCTTTTTCAGCATTTTAAGATTTCACATGGTTATGTTGTTTGTTAGGTAGTAATCTGTGTTTTTTTTTCAGGCAAGTGAAAGATTGCATGAAAAGATGACAAACTTTGTGTCGAAGAACAAAGCTGCGCAATTGAAACACAGCTCAAAGTAGTTATCAGTTTTGTCTGATTTCTTGTTTCTAGTGATCCACTAGAACTTTGCTGATTAATTTATTGACTTCTTGTATGCAGAGACTTTGGTGACCTTTCATCAAAAGACTTGCAGAAGATGGTTCACGCTTTGCCTCAGTACAGTGAGCAAATTGACAAGCTTTCTCTACATGTAGAGGTCAGTTTTAAGCTTATAATATAAACCATGGAAGAAAGTTTGTTAAATTATTTTTACTGTGCTAGTTGATTTGTTTGACGTGATAATGTAGATCCTTTGTTCTTCATAAAATAAGTATGGTTAATATCACTGCAGATTGCTAGAACAATTAACAGAACTATCATGGAAAAAGGTCTAAGAGATCTCGGGCAGCTCGAGCAGGACCTTGTATTTGGGGATGCTGGAAGAAAGGACGTTATCAAATTTCTGAGCACCAACCATGTAAGATGCTCTGCTTTTTAGTTTCATATATCAGAAGATTTTATACTGAAAATGAGCAACATGTCCAGATTATAAGCCACGAAAGCAAGCTGAGGTTAATGATGATTGTTGCGGCAATATATACGAAGAAGTTCGAAGGTGAAAAGGGACGAAAGATGATGGAGGTAATAAAAAATCTTGAACTTCAAAAAAGTTTGCTTAAGGTGATTAATTATTATTTCTCAAGCTTTTCTACTTCTTGATTAAATCTTTCAGCTAGCAAAATTGTCGGGCGATGATGTAGTAGCTGTGAACAATATGAGATTACTTGGACCAGTACATACGGAGTCCAAAAAAAGCACAACAGGGTCTTTCCCTCTCAAGTTTGATGTTCTTAAGGTACATATTCTTCCTCATTCTTGTTTTCATTAGAATGACTTAGACCAAGATTTTGCTGACAGTCTAATATCTGGAATCTTTTGATCCATGTGCTCAGAAGAAGCGAGCTGCTCGAAGAGACCGGGTTGATGAAACTCAAACATGGCAACTGTCTCGTTTTTATCCGATCGTAGAGGTCTTTACCTTTTTGAAAATTTAAACTTTCTATTACTTTATGGAATGTATGTATGCACGAAAGAACTAGTGACATGTTTGGCTTTGTATTTGTGGGTAATATCTTTTTCAGGAACTTGTTGAGAAACTTAGCAAAGGTCATTTGCCAAAGCAAGATTACCCTTGTATGAATGAACCAAAGCCAACCTTTTATTCTGGCTCTCAATCTCCATCAGCTAGTCCGGTATTGCCTCACTCAAGACGAACACCAACATGGGCAAGACGCCATCTTTCCGATGATGGATATTTTAGGTAATTTCTAATGAAAGTTTACACCGAATCTGAATCTCAAAAGTCAGTAATTTGCATGAAAAACAACATAAGTTGGCCAAATTCATACAAATATATGAAGATGTATTGAATATTGATAATATGATTAAAATCAGCCTTATGATTCACACCTAGAATTCTCTCCATGTGTTTCAGTGACTCGGTTCTAGGACGAGCATCTAGCGGATTCAAGAGAAAGGGACAGCGGATTTTCGTGTTCATAGTAGGAGGAGCAACGAGATCAGAGGTACTAAAATCACCCGGTCTGAGAAATAAATTTTGTTATGACCCGTATGCAATTAATGGGTTAATTTTTGATACATTTTGTGTTGTGCAGTTAAGAGTCTGCCACAAACTTACGGAGAAGCTCGACAGAGAAGTGATCTTAGGCTCCTCCAGCTTCCTTGATCCCCAAACTTTCCTCACTGTATGGAATCTTTTCACAGTACATTGAACACGTTGGATTTTTGCACACTCAAATTCTCTCTCTTTGTCTCTGTCTAATGACTAAGATTGTGTTCTTGTTATGTGCAGAAAATGAAACAACTGAACGAAGAAGAGGAGATCTCACTTGATGATATTGTCATTTGATTTCATGTTTTCCTTTTACTTAGAGAACTTATTGTGGGAATCAACTTTTTGTTTTGGAAATAAAATGGTGAGATATGGCTCCATCTGTAAATAAATACAAATATTAATTATTTGTTTCCTTTGTTACACTAAAAAAATTAAGGGATTGCTTTATTTTCTCTGCTTTGTTAACACACAAAAAAAGATGACAGAAAAAGAAAATCGCCCACCGTGGGGCTCGAACCCACGACCACAAGGTTAAGAGCCTTGCGCTCTACCAACTGAGCTAGACGGGCTAAGTGTTTTACATGGTTATAAACGTAATATGTTACTATTTATCTCAAGTGCGTAAATAATAAAGAAGAGTATTACGAACAAGGTTCTCTTACAAACTTTACTATGAAAAACAAACAAGGCTTTGATGATGACATCTTCTTTCTTCTTCAAGAAGACGAAACAAAATATTAAAAAAATGCGAGAAAGAGCAAAACCCAGTCCCGACACACTTATACATGCATGACCCACATATGTCGTAGTTAGTAACAACTCTGATGACATAAGACACACCCGAAAATTCAAACCACTCCCTTTCTCTTTTCGTGAAGCTGACTACGTAACTTGTAGTAGTAGTGCATGCTTAGCAATTCTTTAACTTGTTAAAATCTTCTTCGCCGGTTTCTACTAATCGGATTTGATTCCTCCGTTATGCTTGTTGCCCTTCTTAGACGATTCCTTGATCTGCAATGAATGAAGTATGCATGAAAATCACGGTTAAATAGAAACATTTTCGAGATCTTAGCTTCTTCTTAGATAAAGATTTTACCTGCTCAAGAAGCTTCTTTTGGAATCGGTAACCCTGATCCAGGAAACAAAAAAAATATAACCAAATGTTAAATGATTTCAGCCAGAAATCAATTTGGTGAGTTTTGATTAAACTTTGGATGAACACTAACCTTGTCAGTTCCATAAATGTAATCACAGTAAGTGAACACCGAAGCGAAGTTGCTTTGGCTTTGTCCTCCAACGTAGTGATGATAATCGTGGTACTCAGCGCCACCGTAGAAAGGGATGTATTTTGTTGGACTCCACGGAAAATCATATCTGCGATGGAACAAAGTGAATATATGCTTTATTAACACCAGTTCCAAGCAAGCAAGAAACATTTCTCATTCTCAGAGGAGTGTAAAGTAAGAAACCAATAAACTAAGGGCGCCTAGTCCTCTTTGCCAACTTGACTCTTACTTAAGAATGTTTTGGGTTACTCCAAAAGTTAAATCAAATTAAAAAATAAGCCTATCGAATTGTTCATCAAAAGGTATATCTAACCAGTTCCAAAACAAACCACAATAGCTTAAAAAAAGCCTAAAAAGTAATCAAAAAGAAACCTAATACCTAACTTAGCTCCAGTTGAATGTACACACCTTATATATAATAAATACATACACTAACAAACAATTCAAATTTGGTATGATGCAGTCACACATATATATAATAAACAAAAAGGCTATAACAAAACTGTAAAGTAAAAAAGCAAAAGGATTTGTTATTTGATTCTTTCAACCACGCTTTCTTACCCACTGTGAGTCTCAATAGCCTCCATTTGCCTTAAAGCTATCCACAACCAAAAGGTTATCATGTGACCAGGAGCAATAGCTGGTCCCATAAACGTCGGGATTCCGAGAAGCAAAACTTCAGCCCAATGTGCATATGGAGCAGCATATCCTATCGGAGCTGTATACTCGTGATGAACTCGATGAATCTTGTCGTAACCCCATTTACTATGAAAGAATCTATGGACCCAGTAGTTAGTGTAGTCTTCTATCAAGAAGTAGACTACTAACTGTGACAGTATCTCTGTTATTGTTGGTAATGGTAATCCAGATCGAACCTCAATCATCTGTTAAACATAAAATTTCAACAACACCTAATCAAATTCGAATCAAACACACACAAATTCTGTAACAAGTAGCTTAAACATTCCTTCATTCATTCCAAGTGCCACTCGAACCAGCGACCTCGCTAAGAGTCTTTACTAGTTGAGCGATTGACACTTGGTAATTCTGTCACATTCAACTTCAACATTCAATAGTTTCAAATTCGAAGCGATTCAATTCAAAACACACACAATTTCAGTGAAATTCCTTCAAATGTCAAATTCAAAACCAAATGTGTTCACAAATTACCTGAATGGAAGGATAAGAAACGAGTTGCAACGGACCAACGACGAGGATAAACATGGTCATGACGTCTTTGTAACATTTGAACATATCAGATAAAGAGTAATTAACCTTAGGTTGGATCTTATACCGATTAAACCAACCAGAAGCAGATCGAGCCAATTCGACGAAAACAAGAGGGAGAGGAACGAGAGAGAAGACGAGGAACAAGAACAAAATGTTGTGACAGTAGAGATAGTAATCGGACTTTGTGGCGGAGTAATCGAACCACAGAGTTTCGAGCCGTGTGAGGTTTCGTCCGAGTGCGATTGAAGCTTCTTCGATTGTAGCGTAAGGAATCATGGTTTTTCACGGTGAGTGTTTTCTCGTATCTCCGGTGAAGTGGAGATCTGAAGATTTTTGGGGGAGATCGAGAGAGAAGAAGAGAAGAGAAGAGAAGAGAGTGTTTGTTTTTGTTATGTGTATAGTTGGCGAATGTTTTTTGGACTGAAGACGTGGCTCCAGTTATCAGTATTTATATTACTTGAATAAAATTAATTAATAAATGCCAAATTATTAAAATTGCATCACGGGAATTTTATTTGGGAAAATTAGATTGAGTACCACATTTGGTCTAAAATTTAGGTCCAGTACCACTTTCGAAGCTCAGTTAGCATCTATACCACAATTGAGGTGTGTAAAGACCATTTTGCCCTTTCTTTTGTTTGCTCAAATTTCGGAGACAAAATTCATAGATTGAGGACACAAAAAGAAGTTTACATACAGTTGTTCCGAAGTTTGAGTTTCTCCATAATTTTATCTTATTTTTTGCATGTTTGCTAGTTTTTGTCCCTCAATTTTAATTCATTGTTCTTGGATTTTAGTATGTAAACTCTAATTGCGGTCTTTTCGTTTTGTTTGATGTTTATATTTCGTTTGATTATTGTCCCCGAATAGATTTTTTGTCATCTAGGTACTTGTTCCTAAATGTTACACTTTATCTGTCACATCAGCCGAGGGTAAAACCGTCTTTTTCATACCACAATACCACATGTGTGGTATAAGTGTTAAATCATTCTCAATTGTGGTAGAAATGTTAAGGAATTTGAAAAATGTGGTAGATTTAGCAAAAAATCCCATTTTATTTTGTGCCACTAAATAGTTTTTAACTTTTTGTGATATATTTTTTTGTTATGGGGTTCATTGGGAAATTAATAAATAGTTAAATACTAAATAGTACGAAAAGACATATAAAAATTATATTAATTATGATATGTGTTTTTGATAAATATCATGACATTTGAGTTAAAATTTTGTTTTACTTATCGTTTTAGAGTTAAAATTTTGTTTCATTATAGTTGTCGTTTTAGGTTTTCGATGCAAATCTTTGGTAAAAATTCTAGTTTTATTATTATTGTTTTAATGTTTCGGCCAATGAATTTTTTTATAAAATATATTGATGGGTAAAACAAAAAATTTAATGTTTTTCTTAATTTGTGTGAGAAAACCTTAAACGACAACTAAAACGAAACGGATGAAGTATTATATTAAATAAATTGGGAAGAGCTAAAGGAATGTCATGCATGATATATTTATTAAAAATTAAACAAGGATGTACATAATCTACTTTTTAAAAGTAAACAAAGGAATATCCATTTTTTTTGTAGGTTATTGTTCATATAGAGCACTAACTTTTAAGTCACTAACTTTTAAAACGAGAGTTTGTTTTTAATTAGGAATTGATTCGTCGCCTCACCGGTTTTCGTTGATGACAAGAGTTTCTCTTGAACCATCAGATGCGCCTCTTCAGGTGGGGACGTCGATAACTCACGGCAAGTCTCAAATCTGACATATGGCTCTCCTATGTGCTTCATTGCTGACCATCACCTCCGTTTTGCCGAGCGGCAGCGACCCTAATATTTTTTCCCCAGCAACAACTACTCTAAGGTTTGGATGGATGGGACTCTCCGCCAGTTGTTGCCCAATGACTCTCATTTAACCCATGTTCGAAAGATGTAAAGAAGCCCAAATCCTTTATATTTTTCAGGTCTTGTGTAAGTTAGCCGACTCAAGTCCATCTTTATCAAGATCTAACATTGGGAATCAAACTCCACTCGTAGCCAGGGCCGGCCCTACGAGTTATGGGGCCACAAACAATTACGGTTTGGGAGTCTCATAATCTATATATAAATTTTTTTTTACTGTTTGGGGCCCCAAAATCTATACATATTATTCGTTAAAAATTTGGGGGTCCAACACGAATGTTTCACCCGGCTGTGCTCAGTTACGGCCCTGCTCGTAGCCTCCTTTTTAGAACAATTCATCAAAAGCTTTTATGTGCCATTCGAACGAGCTGTTTATGATCACAGAGAATTCTTAAAAGTCGTCTTCAAAATTGAATCCTTACAAGTGTTAAAAGATCTACCAACTTTTGTAAACTTTTTAAAGTTGTGCAGCTTAGAGAATTCATTGAGCCTTTATCTTTACTTTTCCTGTAATGTTTTAATTTCACTTTGTATGAACTCATTTCCTTTAAAGATTTAGATGAATGAAATGTTTTTTGTCTAAAAGATAATAAAAATTAGGAATTGATTCAAATAGTCATGACTTTTATACTGATATCTTCGGTCATTTAAAAAAAAATGTTTTAATATTTAAATTGTAATGTACAAAATGATTTGCAAAAGGTGGAAGAAAAAGAAAAAACTAATTAGCCACCCATTCGAGTTAGCATTTTGAACAGAAATTAAAAGCTTAAAATTATTTACAAAATATCATAAAGGTGTTCTTATTAAGGACACGTGTACCACAAGAAAGGACAAAACAAAATGAAAACGAATTTCTAGATACATACATCCAAGATTATGAAATCGCAATAAAAACAAACTTTAGAAATTGGTGCTATATATCTTAGTGTTTTGCACAGTAAGTTATCAACCATTTTCACAGTTGATTGTTTCTCCACTATATTTCAACTTTTGGCTCTAATACTTTTTCCATTTCATTAGAATAATTGACGAGGACAGACAAATCAGTCATTATCAAGATATGTAGCTAGTCAAGGTAAAAATAAGTGACGATGTTTTTTTTTTTTTTTTGGAATAAATAAATAATTGACGAGGGTTCGAGATAAAAGAAAATCTTTAAGTTCAATGATATTAGTAATTTAGTATCAAGTTTTCAAGTATTAGGTTCAATGTAGATTACCTTTTAATGATTTATGTGTCGTCACGCTTCTTTGAAATTTCAATCCAAACTAAGCAAATCATTAATCAGTCTAAAAGGGTTGATTAACGTAATAGTCCATATTTACATTTGCGGCAAAACAATATTCTCTATCACGCATGGCAAAGCTATTTTTTCTTTGGTTTTAAAAATAAAGTTTTACTCAACTCATATAAGGCCACCTTTAGACCGTCGATGTAACGTTAGTAGCAAAATGAATATTATAATGAAAGAAATCATTAAGTTAACTACTAACTAAGTTTTGTTTAATAGGAAATTTTGGGTTTGGGCCAAACAGTTAACATGGTAGTTCAGTAACAAGTGATCTGATTACTCTCTGGCATTTATAGAAAAATATTCCAAACTCAGGAGGCAATATAGTAGTCCAACACCTAGATGTTGACAATGAGTCCACATTATAACACTTCACTGCGTTCACTCCGAAACTGACCGGATAAGCCGATCATGTATATAAAAAAAAATGAAATGGAGAAAAATAGAGATTACTTACGTTAAATTTTCTAACTATTTTTCTGAAAAAAAAACTAAGTAAAGAAAAATGAAAAATTTTCTATGATGAATGTGAGAATGAAATTATACAAGAAATTAGAATATGCATTCTTGCAAAAATGATATAGATGGTTATTTAGAATTTCATTAGAAAAAGTTATCTTAGTGACGAGGATAAACAGTAAATATATATATATATATATATATATATTAATGTGTATATATAATTAATATGTATTATGTATATATGCTAAAGAAAAACCTTTTATAGCTATTTATTGGAAGGTTTGCAAAAACTATTTTGTGCTCGAGCTAAATAAAGCGAGGCAAGTTTGAAATCCAAAATAATGGCCAAGGATAATCAGAACTGTATCTATTATCATCATTTGGATTTGACAGAGATCAATATTGGTAGACCTATGAACTATGATTATGATTCGACGCTTTCAAATCATTTGTTCGTCACTATTCCATTTCACCTCTCCTTTATCCCAATTCACATAACTATATATGATTAAAATTTAAAGAAAAAGGTAAAAAGCAAATGTTGACATTATTAACAAAATGGAAAAAGTCTGCATTTGCACTGTTTTTCTTTCGAAGAAAAAAAAAGAAGAAAACTAATATATAGAGCAAATGCAGTCTTTTTTCAACAAAACACATAACTAAATTTATCCAATTTTAGTTTCTAAACACATAACCGTTTATGAACAAAAAAAATTAACTATCAACAAAAAGAAAGGACGACAAAGTACAGAATTTAAATCATTAATAAAAAATTAAACTATTAACCCGAAAATAAAATAAACTAGTACAATAATTATTATTTTGTCCCAAGATTCCTTGTACAAATCCCACATGAAGATCACATTTTCAATCAATAAAGAATCTGTTGCTGTTAAAAAAAAAAAAAAAAAAAAAAAAAAAAACTAGTACAAAGTATGGAATTTAAATTATGTATAGTTTTTAAGTGAAAAATGGAAGAAGCTAGCACGCGAAATGAGAGTCTATCATCAAGTGTGATGGGACTCTTACGCAAGTGTTCACTACTCACTCTCTTGTTTATTTGCTCACCACATCAACATCCCTTACTCATATTTATTTAATTATTTATATAGAAATACATATCTGACAAGTTTTGTTGTCCCAATATTTGTTTACTCTGAGATCAAAACTATTTCATCAAAAGTAAACCATTTTCATAATTCATCACTTAGACACTTTACTCTACTAGTCTCGTTCTATAAGCATCCATAGATATGATCTAATTATGGAATTAGGTAATTGCTTTTCTTATTTCATCACAAGGTATAGAGACTAGAGTACACAATATATAATGGAGAATGGAGAGTGTACAGCAAAAAAGGAAAGAGATGACAAAAAGGTTCATAATATCACGACAGTAATTAATTAAAAGGGTTGCTTGGTTAAGAACTTAGAAGGGATTTAATCTTTACTTCGAGTTACAATGTTAGGCCGTATAAGGTACGTTGCTTGTAATCGCAAGACTATACATAGTGAAACAACATCTTTATATGGTCCTCGATCAACAAAGAATATACATATACACATATTATATTTGAATATAATTATATCTAATTATACTATTTCATTATAGTAAATTGAGTAATCAAATTAAAGAATTAATGAATGGTTGGTTAGATGCACCGTGCACGTGACGTTTGCTTGCATGATACATACGTGGTTTCAGCATTACATGATTTTTTTTTATTAACTAGATGAGCTTTATTAGTTGGTCATTTTCGTTTTGTCATCCAATATTAAACTGAAAACAAATAGACTTTATTAATTAAAGGTCTCACACATCCTACACTAATCAACAAATTGATATGAATATTGATTATTTTAGGTAGAAAGTATCTATGAAGTTCAGTTTTAGATTAATTAGATGCATGTTTCCATATCACCTATTTGTTTAGAAAAACTATCTGATTTTTGTTTGAAATAAATTTTGAAAATGGCATGGCACCAACATATGATGTAAGATTTCAACTAATCTAGTATGTAATATTTTAAGTGAATCCCTCTTTCCAATTGTTCGAACCTGGTTCCATCTCAAGATATGCTAGAGAATCCGAATTTGAATCAAAATTTCATACACAGATATACCATATATATTATTATATACTTTGTTCCAAATTAAAACACAAGTATTATTACATACACAAAAAAAATATATATATTAGATGAAAAGAATATGAGTATTATGGGTCAGATACGGGCCGAGATATTGGTGAATGGGTTCTGAAAGTGGAGTCAAAAATATATTACTCACAATTAGATGGTTTGTCATACAAGTAATCAGGATTGTGTTTATATTATAACTTGATGAACATTTTAGATGATCTATTTTCATCTTTTAAAAGGTATAATTAATTTTTTGGTGTTGTATCCATTTTTCACAAAATTTTTAAAAGATGTTTTTCTTTTTAATTCCAACAAAAAAAAATATAATTTTGGATTTACTAATCTCACAAAAGTTTAAGTCCAAAAGAATTTTTAAGTCCAATTAAGTCAAGTTGACGGGGATTTGACTTAAAACACTGTTAAATGGAAGTGTAATCGCATGGTTGAGATCATTCTAATCAAGTTTGACGAGTAGTCGGACGGCTCAGATTATTTGAATTCATACACATTTAATGAAAAAGTTTATGACCATTAATCTAGACATATCTTTTTTGTCTTGCGATCTTTCATTTTTTTCAAAATTTGAAAATGTCTATATAACTGAAGCAAATACTACCGTTTGAAGAAAGAATAACGTTACGTCTTTCTAATTTCTCTCATTAATTTTGAAACCCTAATTTTTTTTTTTTTGCAAAACCTCCGAAGAAGTTTGATCACCGGCGATTGTTCTGTCCGGCGACCACCGCCGATCATGATCTAGGAAGGTTATCGATTCTAAGGTCAGTTAGACGAGATATCAGACTCTCGAATACCTAATTCATAGGGATTTGTTCCGATTTTGTGTTTTTTTTCCTCTTATTTGATTCGATTACTATTACGATGTCTCTCTCTGGTTCTGAGTCCGGAGGTGGATCGATTTTGTATTTCATCTGATAGATAGTTCTGATTTGTGATTTTTTTTTCAATTTGGTTTTGACAGATCATTAACGATCGCGAGACTGTACGATCAAGGGGGTTTTGTTTGGATGGTGGTGATGGCGGTGGATACGGTGATGGTGGTGGCTGGCCGTGAGGGATGAGGAAGCGGTGGTCGTGGCTGGTAATTGAAATAGTTTTGTGGCTCTGTTTTTGGTTTAGATTGCTTTTGCTCTTGTTCTTGTTCTGATTCTTTTGGATTACTTTTTGAAGGTTCAGGAGGCGTTTGATGTTTCCAATCCGCGAGATATTCACAATTATTTCCATGCTTTGTTGTTTACTTACTTGCTTTCTCTATTTTTTGTTTGCTTTTTTTGCTTACTGATTTGATTCCTACCAACATGTCTTGTTTCCTTAACTTGCTTCCTTGTTTTCTCTTTTTGCTTCATTGCTTGTTTGTTTTCTTCCTTGGTTCCATGCGTGCTTGGTTACTTGATTTGGTTTTGCTTCTTTGATTTCTTCCTTGGTTCCTTGATGTGTTTGTTTGTTTCATCTTTTGGTTCCATGCGTGCTTGTGTGTTTCATTCTCTGGTTCCTTGCTTCCTTGTTTGGCTTTTTTCACTTATACCTTGGTTACTGTATTTGCTTTTGCTTCTTTGATTTCTTCCTTGGTTCCTTGATGTGTTTCATATTCTCCGTTTCCATGCGTGCTTGTGTGTTTCATTCTCTATTTCCTTGCGTGCTTGTTTTGTTTTCTTGCTTAGTTGTTTGGTTCTTACTTGCTTCTTGTTTCCTTGGTTCCATGCGTCCTTGTCTGTTTCATTCTCTATTTCCTTGCGTGCTTGTTAGATTTCTTGCTTAGTTGTTTGTTTCTTACTTGCTTCCTTGATTTTGATTTTTGGTGTTTCTTCCATTTATATCGTGATGTTGAAGATGTCCACAGGATTCAAAGTGATGGTGTAAGTCTTATATCTACTTATATAATCAGTAATCTTGATTGATCTAACCGACATGATTGAACTGTTCTAGAGAAAAACCAAGAATCGAGTAGAAAGCAGAGTTATTAAAGGAGAGTTCAATCAGGTTTTGTTCATTTAATTTCAGTCTCTCATCATCTTGTTATTAAAGAACTAGATAAGCTGCGTAATTTGACTTGGTATTGAGTGTCTGTCTTTGTGAAACGTGAAAATTGAAGATGTCTTTTTGTTCTGTATTGGCAGTGTATTGAGTGGTGGTGGGAGTGCTCGACTTCTTGAGGCAAGTGCTCAGAATTGAGTCGATATGATAAATGAGTATCAAACGGGAGCTCTTGTTAGTCGTTTGGGAATTCATGGGCACCATGAAACCAGGTCCCCTTATTTTATGTAAGTCACATACTAGCAACTCCTTGAAAGATATCTTGCTTCATTGATAGTTTCTTGAGTCTATTATGAACTATAAGAAGTGAATGCTTGCTTATTTTTTTGCATGTGTTCTTCGAAGAAATGCTCTGTAGAACAAGCTCACTCTACAAGTCTCCAGCAAAACTACTTAATAAGGTAGCACTTTATCACTTAGTCATTCATGAAGAACATTGTGATGCTAGTCTTGTTTTCTCATAATTGGCAGTCTATCTTTTGATAAATCTAACATTTTTAGTTGAAATTAGTTAAGCAGCAAACTGCAGATACCAAACTGCTGACATGATGGTACCTAAACTGAATAGATCGTCTATTTGCAATAACCACTTGTTTACAATCAAATAAGGTAATACCGTCTTAACACTTCTTGAATTAACATCATTCAAACAAAGCTAGACAGAGGGGTTTAGTTACTTATGTTGAATAAATATTTGGGAACTGAGCAATTTAGGTTATGGACGCCGTCATTGGATTTCGCTAGTTAGCTCATTTCACAGCAGTCATTGTGATCATGAACATATGATATTCTCAGATGATTGTGGCCATAAAAAAGTGTTCTCGATGCGTAGTAGCTTATTTTCGATTTTTATGAGCATATCAGTGAAAGTTAAATAAGTGTTGATAAAATCAAGAGTTGCAGTAGTAAGGAAATTAGGCACCAACGACCAATTTTTCTTTATATGTTTGTAATCTTTTATATATTACACATGGAGTTTAATATATTACCGGTTTTTTTTTCTTAATGCAGAGGGTCTACAACGAGTGTACAAAGCAGGGCATGTTCTTACTCATATAGTAATTTCATTTGCTAGAGCCTGTCTTCAATTTTTTTACTTTCAAAGTATTGTTAACTAATTTCTCGAACTGTTTCAGGACTACGTAGTACCATGAACCCAAACACTGAAAATTTAAGATGTCTTTTTGTTCTGTACAGGCAGTGTATTGAGTGGTGGTGGGAGTGCTCGACTTCCTGAGGCAAGTGCTCAGAATTGAGTCGATATGATAAATGAGTATCAAACGGGAGCTCTAGTTAGTCGGTTGGGAATTCCTATGATATATGGCATTGATGCCATTCACGGGCATGACAATGTCTATAACGCTACTATTTTTCCTCTCAATGTTTGTCTTGGAGCCACCAGGCAAGTATTAGCTGATATGTTTCTTTGATTTTGCATATTCGAGCTGGAATGGTGAGAAGATGCATGCGAATACTTATCACAGGGTATCTTAAGGGTACCCTTAAGTTTAAGGTCTGCTTACTTTTTTCCTTTCATTTTAAACATGACATGTTACACATTTTCTCTCTACCCTGACTCCAATTTAGTGATCGGTTTTGAACTATTACTAGAAGGGTTATTCTCTAGGGATGCATCATAATCTAGTATTTGTGAATTGTTTAGTGGAGTAACATGCATCAGTTATGGGTTTTCTTAGAAATACTTTGATAAACAGTTTAGCCTCACTGCTTCAGTTGCTAACTTTCAGAATATGATTACTGAAGCGGCACAAAAATGGATGGTGGAATTCTTGTGGTTTTAGGTCCAGATGGACCCATGCCACAGACAAAAGAACATATCCTACTTGCACGCCAGGTTCACATTATTACAATATGAACACTTGAAGCTACTCAGTTGAGTTAGGTTGTTTGCCACTATTTGAATTATTGAATGTTCCACAGGTTGGTGTTCCCTCACTTGTGTGCTTCTTGAACAAAGTTGATGTGGTGGATGATCCTGAGCTGTTGGAGCTTGTCGAGATTGAACTACGAAGTTTGTAGAGTTTTTAATCTCACAGAATTTCTGTCTTTCAGCATACGAAGTAAGTACAAGCTTTCTGACATCAACTCTTGTCTCTATAAAGAACTCCTCAACTTCTACAATTTTCCTGGGGATGATATTCCCATCATCCGAGGATCTGCTCTGTCCGTGTGCTTGACAAGGCTTTCTTGATGCCAATTGAAGATGTTTTCTCAATTCAAGTACACTAGTCTACATCCTTGTTGTTTTCTGATTCACTCTTTAAGAAAAAATCAGTTCTGATACTTTTCTTTTTTCTTGAAGGGACGTGGAACTGTTGCAACATTGAACAGGGAACCATTAAAGTGGGTGAAGAAGTTGAGATATTGGGTTTACGTGAGGTGAGTGTGCATAAATATTGTTTTGGTACTGCCAAAGTGGTGATTTACTGGGGGATATTACAATTAAGCATTTTCTTTAGCGTAACTGTGAGATTTGATTTCCAGGGGCTTCCACTGAAATCGACTGTAACTGGGGTTGAGATGTTCAAGAAGATTTTGGATAATGGACAGGTAAAGCCAATATTAAGAGATTACAAATAAAAGTTGTGGGCATGTAAGATACTGATTAAACCTTGGCTACTATTATGCTAGGCTGGTGACAATGTAGGACTTCTTCTGCGGGGCTAAAGAGAGAAGACATTCAGCGTGGAATGGTAAGCTTATGACTACCATTACAGCAACACAGCAAAACAAGCTTTACATAATTTTTTAATTTTCACTACGGTTGGTTATTAGGTGATTGCTAAGCCTAGTTCATGCAAGACATACAAGAAGTTTGAAGCAGAGATTTACGTGCTCACAAATTAAATTCTTCCTTAGGTCTGTGTTCTGGCTGTAATGTTTCTGAATGAATATTGCTCTTTCTCCTTGTATTTTGTAGAGTCTTGAATAGAACTTTTATAGAGCATCTGTGAACTTATCATCTCTATGATATTTGCAGGGTTTTGTTATTTCGGATTGGCAAGGTGTTGATAAGATTTCCTCACCACCGCATACACACTACACAGCTTCCGTCCGAGCTGCAATTCAAGCTGGTTGGTGTTTCAAACTTCACAGACATTCCTGGACTGAAATAGGAAACTGTTACTTATGTCTGTGTTAGCTAATGAAATAATATGCAGGTCATGGTCCCTATCTTATGTCCTTGGTGAAGGACAAAGCAATTCCTATCACTCGGATTGATGATGCTGTCGGAAGAATCCTGCTTGTCAAGTTCACCATGGGTCTTTTTGAGAACCCTTTGGCTGATTACAGTTTTATCCAATGAATTAGGAATCTGTTGCAAGTACTACTACAAAATCTTGATGGAATGTTCTTAATTTCTATTAGGCACACAGAGACTTGGCAAAGGGGGCTGTTAGAAAATCCTTTGTGCTGCTGAAAAACGGGAACAAAACCAATACTATGCTCCCACTTCCCAGGAACACTTCAAACTTTTTATTTCGCAGTGATCTGCACTTATTTAGAACATTCCTACAAGATTCACCGCAGGTAGCACCATTAAATCATTTTTTATGTAAGGCTTTTGTTTTTTGGCGTCAAATATTTATGTTAGGACATCTTTTGATTTGTACCTATATTTTGTTGCTAAGATATCCACAGAATTAACAAGGATGGCATGAACCTTTGATGTACCCATTTAGTCAGCAACCTTGACGTTACATTGGGTATAATTGGTAAGGTACTTTAGTTATCTTTTTAGACATTCGAAAAATATTTGTTCTATGTAAGGCGTAGCAATCCTTCAGAACTAAACATTGAATATGATGTTTTGTGTAGATATTACAGATTGCGGCGGTGTGGAAGTTTCTTCACGGGTCGAAAGGAATAGATGTATTACTGACGAAAAATGGCTTTGTCGTGCAGTAACATCCGAATTGAAGAAAACTACAGGAGATTTTGCTGTAGGAGCTTGGGCTGGTGCTGCCCATTATCTCCTCTGGTATATGCTTGCAAGCCACGTAAGCGTCTCTTGTACATATAACTCTTCTTAATTAGGTTTTGAGACATTTATTTATAATTGTGTCATTTCTCTTTTGTAGACACATTTTTGCAGATAACTGGAGCATTCTGGTACATGTTGTCAGTGGAACGTAATGATACTTGTTGGAGATTTGCGTGTAAGTTCAGCCAGATCCGTGACTCTGTGTTCAGATTCTGTATTGTGGGAGTAAATTTGTGTCCCTGAGCTTCTCAAGAGCAATTGTTCTGCTAAAGGAGATGATTCAAAGTTTAACTTTGGGATATACGGTCAAGCTATATCTTCAAAAAAATTCTCCAAGTTCTGTTATTGTATATGGTGGAGTCTTCAAAATCTCAGGTAAGGCCTCGAAATCAATGAATAAACCGTTGTTATGCAGTAATTTGATATCTTTGGTGTTTTCTTGAACAGCGCCTTAGTTCAAGGGCTGCAAACAAGTACATTTCCAGGAGAGGTTTTGTTTTCCAGCGCGTTAGGTCAAGGGTTTCTTCTTTCGCGCTTCTACTCGGGAATATGCTTACTGTTCGTCTTCATTTACTTACTGTTCGTCTCGAGGAAATGAGGATCAAAAGATGTGACTCGGAACAGTATCACAGGTCACTTCCACAAAATTTGAGGGAAAGAGTCAGACGCTATGATCAATACAAATGGTTAGAGACCAGAGGTGTTAAGGAAGAAAATTTAGTTCAGAGTTTAGCTACGGATCTCAGAAGAGACATCAAACGTCATCTTTGCCTGAGTTTAGTTAGGAGGGTAGGTTTTCACATTCAGAATGCTAAAATTGCTTGAGATACTAAGTAACTATCTGTTCTGTTTTTGCAGGTTCCTCTGTTTGCTAATATGAATGAAAGATTACTCGACGTGATAAACTAGATCGAAGAAAGAGTCATAGTAGAACTGTGAGAGATTAAAGCCGAGTCTTTACAAGGAAAGCACTTTCATTGTGCGTGAAGGAAACCCGGTTAATGAAATGATGTTCATAATCCGAGGCCGGTTAGAGAGTGTAACACTAGATGTAGGAAGAAGCTGTTTCTTCAACAGAGGGTTAATATTGAAAGAAGGAGACTTTTGTGGTGATAAGCTTCTGACATGGGCTCTTGACCTTAAAGCAGGCTCAATCTTACCTTCTTCCACAAGAACAGTGACGGATCAGTCATCTTCTTATTCCTGAAGGTATGTGTCTTATTATGGTTAGTCGATTGATTTTGCTCTTATAGTTTGGAATTACATTCTCGTTTTATTTATATTCTACAGTAGCGGAGGAGTATTTTGTTGTCTATATATATGACTGTGAGCTTATCTTAGAAACAAACTTTTGATTTGAGGAGATTTTCCTTTTCTTCATAAAGTAGCTTTGAATGATCAAACTTCCATTTACTTCTAATGTGTTTTAGGTATGACATCACTTTAGATTGTTGCAAGCTAATCTTGGTTATGAATGTTTCCTCATCTTGAGACATGTGAAAGCTTGATCTCACAGCAGGGCAAAAGCTAGATCCGAGAAGACTTGTCGTAGCAATAATGAGAATTGAGCAAACACCATTTGATATATATTCTCTTCTCACAGGTCTTGACTCTTGACTATTGATTTCTTCTTGTCTTTCTGCTTTCTTTCTGTTGCAATCAATTTGAATTCCATGTTAGACAGTTAGAGCAATTAGAAAATAAACCAATATATACTTGTTCATATAGTTAGAGCAGAGTAGTCAAGTTTTAGTTCACAGAAACTGCAAAAGTGAGACTTCACTTAATGAGTTAATATATACTTGTTCATTTTTTTTTCCCATTTTAGGTGGTGGTGGTGATGGTGAGGTCATTTCTGAATATTTCCATACTCATTAAGAAAATGCCTCCGAGATTCCCAGGTAGCACCATTAAAATGCCTTCGAGATTTGGTTTTGTGACATATGCTGATTCCTCGGTCGTCGACAAAGTTATCCAGGACAATCACATTATAATTGGGAAGCAGGTTAGATGGAGACGTGCCTTACATCTTAAGTGTCTTAGTTGTGTTGTACCTTACAATGCGTAACATTCAACTTTTTGATTGCTCTTCAGATTGAAATTAAGCGGACGATACCAAGAGGATCCATGCGCTCTAACGATATCAAAACCAAGAAGATATTTGTTGGTGGAATTCCTTCTTCTGTGGATGATGGTAAACACTCTTCCATACTATCCCATATTTGTATCACATGATTTTTTATTTCAGAATTTTTATTTATGAAGTTTCTCATCTGGTGATTGGTGTTTGTATAGATGAGTTCAAAGAATTCTTTATGCAATTTGGAGAGCTGAAAGAACATCAGATTATGCGTGATCATTCAACTGGAAGATCACGTGGCTTTGGGTTTGTTACATATGAAAAGTGAAGATATGGTTCATCATCTCTTTGCGAAAGGGAACAGAATTGAACTTTCAGGGACTCAGGTAACTACACGTTCTTACAAATATTGTTGGGATTCTAAGACTTTGTAGCTATAGTCAATCTGCCCTGTTACTTTGCTTAATTGTCTGTGGAAATTATCTCGTATAGGATAAAGAAGGCGGAGCTACAAAACAAACTCAGTTACAACCCCGTCAAAGCGGTTCGGTGATTCTCGCTCTAACTTTGGTGGTGGTAATGGAGATGGTTATGGTGGCGGACATGGTGGTTAATGCATTGTTTGCTTCCTTGTTTGCTTCTTTTGATTCCTCTGCTTAGTGTAGTACTTGTTTCTTTGCTTGCTTCTTTGCTTGTTTCTTTGCTTGCTTCTTTGCTTGTTTCTTTGCTTGTTTCTTTGCTTGCTTAGTGTATTACTTGTTTCTTTGCTTGTTTGATTCCTCTGCTTAGTGTATTACTTGTTTCTTTGCTTGTTTGATTCCTCTGCTTAGTGTATTACTTGTTTCTTTGCTTGTTTGATTCCTCTGCTTAGTTTATTACTTGTTTCATTGCTTCTTTGATTTCTTTGCTTAGTGGATACTTGTTTCATTGCTTCTTTGATTGCTTAGTGCATTACTTGTTTTTTTTTGCCTCTTTGATTACTCTGCTTATTGTATTACTTGTTTCTTTGCTTCTTTGATTCCTCTGCTTCTTTGATTGATTCTATTTTTATCTTTTTTCTTCTTAATATTCTCGATTGCTTCTTTACATGCTTAGCTTTGTTAATTTGATTCTTTAATTCATTTTCTTAGTATATTGCTTGTTTCTTTATTTCATTAATGCATTATTTGCTTCCTTGATTCCTCTACTTAGTTCTTCTGTGCTTTTTCTATCTTGTTAAGATATTGAAATATTTTATGCAGCTGAGACTTGAGAGATTTTGTAAGATGTATTTATTTCTCGATTGGATGACATTATTATGTAAGAACATATTTTTTATATAATAAATAAAATTTAATTTATTTAAATGCTCCGAAAATTTATAAAATATCCAATCGCAAAAATTTTGAACGTCTCCCCAATCTCAAATTAAATCAAAATCCCGTGTTCATGGTCTTTTTTTTTGTTTTATATTTTGGACATTTAAAAAAATCATGTTTACTGATGATACACAACAAGATGAAGTTGAACGTGAGAAGGGAAAATTGAAGCTTGCTTGGCATACATTAAAAAAGGATCGAATTCGAGAGATTAAATGAACTAAACATAACCGAAACTAAAAAGCTTAAAAAGACACAGATGTATAGTTATAGTTCATTGATCCAACCAGCTGTTCCGGTGCTCGAATATGCCGCCGCACGACGCATGATGTTGTTCACAAAACAATATATTGCCGTAACCATATCCGACATTGTCAAGTTGATTCACCCATTACCGTCCCAAGAACTCCCAAAACCCACATTGAATCAATGCTGATTGAGAGTCTTTTTAAATCTCTTGGGCATTTAGCCAGCCATGGTCATTTGCACGATGCTTTCAAAACGTTTTCTCTTCTCCGTCTTCAATCTTCTTCTTCTGCAGTTTCAGGTGACGTTATTTTGCATAGCGCGGCTTCCCTTTTATCCGCGTGTGTTGATGTTCGTGCATTTGTGCCGGGGCTGCAAATTCACGCGCACTGTGTTTCGTCGGGTGTCGAATATCACTCTGCTTTAGTCCCAAAGCTGGTTACTTTTTACTCTGCTTTTAATCTTCACAGTGTAGCTCAATCTATTATTGAGAACTCAGACATTTTGCATCCCTTACCAAGGAATGTGCTCATTGCTTCGTATGCCAAGAACGAGCTTTTTGAGGAGGTTGTTGCTGCTTACAAGAGAATGGTTAGCAAGAAATCTGACCCGATGCATAAATAAAGTTGCATGTAAAATTAAAAAAAGAAAAGAATAAATGTTTGCTTGACACATAAGCATCAAAAAATTTCTTTTAAATAAATATATATATATATATATATATATATACTAGGATCGGACCCGCGGTCTACCGCGGGAGAATATTGGTTTACATATGTTGCGTTTAATATTGTGTGTGTTTTTTAGTAGAACGAATCGTGTAGTATACTTATAAATATTCATAATAACGAATTGTAGAGAAAATGTAAAATTGTTTATAAATATACCCATCGTAATAATTATGATTTCCAAAATAGAATTTTGTGTTTTAAAATTCTAAAATTAGACGATTCATAGGAATTAGAGCAGTCAAAATAGGTCAAAAACCGCGGGTCCAGCCCACATCATCTCACTATGGGGCAGATTTGGGAAAATATATTAAACCCGCAAATAAGCGGGCCACATGGATTAATTCGCAGTGGGTCATAGGTTTAATCGGTTTTCATCCGCGGGTTGGCGGATCAGCCCACATACTAGTATTTATTGATAAAATTATAATTTATTCAACATGTGGTAATTTAAACAAACTTTTAATAGTATTTTGATTTATTTATTTATTTTAGTAGTATTTTAAATTTTGGTTACTTTAAAATTATTTAAACAAAATCCATGGACATTCCCGCAAATCCGCATACATTCGCGGGACGGGTTTGTATTTCATATATGCTACCCGCGGGTCGTGTGGACCGACTAACTACAAGTCAAAATATTTTTTGTCTATCGCAAAACGGACTTAACGGGACGAATCAACTAGCTTTGACAGTTCTAATGAGAATATTATTTAGTCATACAACAAAATGAAGTTTGGACATAGTAATAATAGAATATGTATCTTATTTGTTAGATGAGAGATTGAAAGATGAAGTATAATGATTAAAAATTAATTATTATTTTTCATGATTCACAAAATTTAATAAATACTTATCATCTTGTTGAATAATTCTAAAATCATATTCAAGAAATCTTTATAAATTGAAAATTAAACTTCTTTGGTAAGCTATAGGTATGAAAATATCATAATTTCGATTTAATCTAATTAAATTAAAATTAGTTACATGGATTTCATATCTATTTAATTTACACGACCAAAATAAAAATATCTATTTAATTTACACGACTAAAATAAAAATATCAATTTAATTTATAAAACAGATGGATTATTTGTGATAAATTTTCTAGAAATCTTTAGAAGCAAGTAAAATATCTTTCAATTAATGATAATTGGCTAAAATGAACGAAATTAATGACAAAAACGTTGATTGTTATGGAATTAGTCCCAAAAATATATGAACAAATTTATTATACGTAATTAATGTATAATATTGTTTGGAATATGCTTTTATTATTAGTTACCATAAGTACAATCAGGTTTTATTTGATTTCCATAAATATTTGATTTTATTTCGATTTTTCATTATTAATTCGAATTTATATTCCAAAAAAATTTCAAAGATCCGATTTCAAAATTTCGGGTCAATTTTCTGATTTTAACCCGACCCATTTTCATTTGTACTTCTCTTTTAATAGTATAGAGATTTTAGAAGAAACTCTATTTTAGAGTCATGCATTGGAGCAAAATCTCCTCTAAAATAGATTCAAATTTTGGGTTACCATTTACAATGAAAGTTTGTTAAATTTCTCATCTACAACAAATTCTTCTTTATTCTTCATTTTGGCCATTTTCCTTTTTACTATGTTCTTTTTTATTCATTTTCTTATCAATCATATTGTTTTTTTTATGGTTACTAATAGGAGCCAAAATCCGTCTTAACACCGATGTACATATAGATAATATTTTCATTCATTTGAACTATGAAAAACTTGCGATGGCTATATTGGTAAGTTTCATTATCTGATGTTTTACATGATGACTGTATCAGTTCTCTTTATGATTAGTGAAAGTATGTATTCAGCTGTTAGAAGAAGAATAAAAAACGAACCAAAATTCGGATTCTCTCATTTGGACTACAGTTTAAAACGCTATATTTGTGTATATGTCTTAATCTTTGTTTAAACATGTTTATGCTTCTAAAAAGCAAGCACAAGATAAACCAAACAGAGTAACAAAATTGAAAGACTAGTTTTAAATATGTTATGTAAATTTTATTGATAGGTTAAAATTATTCAAGGGACTTTAAAAGTAAACATAATTTCGTTGAAAATACCCTTTTTACAGTATTAATTTTCAAAAATGCTTTTAAATATTTTCTATTTCCATTATAACCCTTTTATATAAAAAAAAAATTAAAAGGTTTTATAAAAGATGATTTTGAAGTCCAAGTAATGTAAGCTGTCATAGACATCAAAGAGCATTTAAAAAAAAATGGGAGTCTTTGAAAATAAAGCGGTTGTAATAGCGGTTTAACATAAAACTTACCAAAAATATATAATTTATATATTTTTTTTGTCAACCATACATTAAATATTAAAAAAACTCCTTGATTGGTTGCCCAATATCTATACTATTAATTGGGAAGGATTACCTGAAAAATAACCTTACAATCTGTAAATAATTACAAGAGAATGCCATTACAATTAAAGTTTTGATGACAAAATAAAAAATTTTGCGGAGGGGTAAAATTGTAAAATTCCCGCTGTTGGGACGCGGATCCCGGATCCTACAGCCGGATCCTGTTTTTTAAAATATGGCTGACCCGATTATGTCATTGGGAGATGACTGTTGGGCTTACAATATGTTTAGGCCCATCATGAATCTCCTTTTAATTTTTTAGGAATCTGCAGTAGATATAAGCAAATAAAAACATTAGCCACACAAATCAAACAATACCATAACTATTTTTCCGGATAAAATATACTACTCTGTATATTGCCTTAACAAACAAATCACATAATTTACACTTCCTAAAATAAAACGTATTTATTTATATTCCATATAATAACAAATCAAGCATATTCTTTACTTATTCTAAATCGGGAATAAGTTAGCAATTAATTTTTTGATTAATTGCACTCAAATCTCGCAAAAATCTTACCATATCAACTCAAACTATTAATGCCAATGTAAAAATATATAGTTTAGACGGTGAATTAAATACAAAACTAATTAATCCATATCTCCATATAATATATTGAAAGATACAGTATTGTAACTTATTAGATAATTATACTACTCTCTAAATTAATTTGACTAATAATTAGACACAAATCTCGCAAAGATCTTTCCATATCAATACAAACTATCAATGCCAATTTAAAAATATCTCTTTAAATGCAAAACTCAATTATTTGTATTTCTTTATATTGAAAGATATAGAATTCTAACTAATTGTATTTCCATTATTAGTTGGTATTAAAAATCACACAATCTCTTCAATATCCATATTCAGTTCGATATTGATATACCAAACAAGTAAATCGGAAATTATATGCAAATAAATCTCCCTAAATCAAGCATATACCTTTAAGATCCTAATCCCAAATTATATTATACGGCCTATATTCTCTAAAACCTAATAAAACTAAAGGCTCCATACGATTACTATAAATATAGGGACCTGCATTAGAAAGAACTCACCTTTCAAAGCTTTACCATTACCACTTCACTATTTCTCTAAGAAAATGGCAGCTGTTCAAGCATTCACCCCTCTTGCTGACATTAAGCCCTTCAAAACACATTGGAAAATTCAAGTTAAGATTGTGCATTCGTGGACACAATACACTCAATTCACCGGGGAAACAGTTGAAATGGTTCTTGCTGATACAGCTGTAAGTATAAGAACTATCATTTTTCAACATATTAAACATTTATCAATCATCAATATCACTGGATGATTAACATGAGTTCTTTTTATCTGTTGCCAGGGTACTTTGATTCATGCTACTGTTAAGAAGCCACAAGTGAGCAAACTGCAAAGGTTCATAGTTTCTGGAGAATGGCGTATTATCGAGCATTTTACGCTAACCAAATCAACAGGAAAGTATCGAGCCACAAAACAGGGTTTCAAGATGTCCATGATGGAAAAAACTGTGATAAGTCGCACTCCTGCTGTTTCTGATGACATTTATGTGGATCTGGCAAACTTTCCAGATATTTTGAATGAAGCAGGATTGAGTGAAAACATCTTAATTGGTACTATATCTATCTTACTTTCCATTGTATATTTTCTTTTTCTATTATAATAGGAACTTCTTCATGAAAATATAATTTATTACTCTCTTATTTTGCAGATGTACTTGGACAGGTAGTTAGTTGCAATGAAATGAAAATTCATGATGTTAACAACAAGATCACAAAGAGACTTGAGTGTGAACTCAGAGACACAAAGTAAGTTTAATCATGAATCTACCTTTTTTATATAATCTTATATACATCTAAACTTAAAACTTTCTCAATATTTTTGTTGTATTGTAGTGATGAAAGGCTGAAATGCACTCTTTGGGGGAGATTTGCTGAGGCAATGTATAATGCATGTCAAAATGCAGGGACTGAGAGAGTGATTTGCTTGCTTCGGCTTGCAAAGATCAACTCATTTAAAGGTATAGAATGTTGTTACTGGGAATAATGCATGATTTTGAAATCGAAATGAAATCAGAACATATGTGAAAATACTAATATCATGCTGTTTTTAGGTGAAAGAGCTGTTTCAAATTCATTTGATATGTCTCTATTGGAAATCAATGCTACCTACCCTGCTGTTCTTGAGTTTGTGGCCAAGTAAGATATGTTTAAACATCACATTTCTTTTACTAATATAGATAACTGTGAATCCTATTTATAATATCTAAAGTTGATTTCGTTTTCTTTTATTTGTTAAAAATAGTTTACCACCTGATGTTATTCCACTGACTATCGAAGACTCGAAGGCAAAACAAGTGAATGCAGAACAGAGAAAAAAGGATTACTATGATCGTTTTCCAAGGAAAACCATCTCTGGACTCTTTTGTTTTTCTGAGGTATTTGTATTTGATAATATTATTTTTTCTAGCAACTATTAAATTCTCTGTCTATACTACTAATTATCTATTTTTTTGGAATAGACTGGAAAGTGCAACATAATTTGTACCATAATGAATATCGACACAGACTATTCTTGGTATTTCTTTAGTTGCCTCAAGTGTAGCAAAACTGCCTATAAGATTCCAAAGGTTGAAAATGAGATTGTCAAGAAAGGCAAGAAAGAAATGTTTTGGTGTCCAACATGTAAGGAAGACACTCCTAAGGTGATACCAAGGTAAGACTTTGTTATTTGCTAATATATATCTACATTTGTCAGATAATAACTATGTACCTAATCTACTTTCCTGTTCCTTTGATATGTAGGTATCTTTTAAACGTTGGAGTGATGGATAGCACTGGAGACACTAAATGTCTTATCTTTGATAAAAGTGCACAAGAGATAATCGGTGTGTCTGCAGAGGATTTGCTGGAAGGGAAGTGGGATGAGGTAAACAAATTTGTTGTTAATATGTATATAGACCATATTATTCAAATATCTTATATACTTTTTTCAATCTATCATAACAGATTCAGGATCCTACAAACTTGCCTCAGCCAATCAGAGATTTGGTTGGAAAGACTTTCCAGTTTCTGGTGACTGTTGGAAAGGAAAACATCAATGAAACTGATGATACCTACAAGGTTTCAACCGTTTGGCTGGGTAATGAATCTGACAATCTAGATACTATTGAAGATTCTGACCAGCAGACTGACCAACGTAATGACCTCTCTATTGATCAGGTAATGTTAGTAGGTGCAACCAAAATCAATCTATCAAAAAGTTATTCAAGTTTATCACTAAAGGGCTGGATCGTGTTTCAATTAAATAGTGAGTACCATCAGTTATACTCAAGTCAGGGAATAAATTATGGATACTTATAACTATATAATTTAATGACTTTGTTATATGAAAGATTATCTATTATATATTGACTATCCTGATTTTCTTACTTACAGGAAGGACTTGCTCTGACCAATAGTGGTGAAACCACTGACCCTTTAGGTCCTACATCATCCACTCCTTCATCTAAGCGTAGTATGGATGCAGTTTCTGAGGACATTGAAGGTCAGGGTTCTACTACTAAAAAGCAGTGTTCTAAAAAGCGGTCTAGGCGGTCGCCTAGGCCCCGACTAGGCGCTAGGCTCTTATGCGACGCCTAGATAACCGCCTTGACCGCCTAAAATTACATAGACCTTGTTTAATGTATTTTATTGATTTTTGAATAAATTTATTTATATATAAATAGTTATAAATATTCATATATTATTTAGTATGAATATAAATAAATGATTTATCTAATTTTTGTTTATGATTTCGTATTTCTAGTTTTTTTCTAGATTTTTTCTATAACTTTTATATATAATATCATACTTATAATGTTTTATGTTATAAACGTCTAAACCGCCTAAAAATCGCCTAGGCCCCGATTAGGCGTTCTAGGCGCTAGGCGCTGGGTCACCGCCCGCTTAGCGCCTAGCGCTTTCTTGAACATTGCTAAAAAGGCATGTGTCTCTTCCCTTCTTGGTGACATTGAGAAGGAAGAGATTGAAGGTGGCAAGAATTAAGTTGTGCTGGCTGGGAATAATGTAGGGAGCTTGGCTGTAGCAATTAGTTTTCTATTTTTTTCTTTTGTTCAAGTTTCAAAACTTATTTAGTTTTTTCCTTTAGCTATGTGCTATTTAATTCTCAGTTATTTTGAATTCAAGCAATAAACTCTAAGCTTCTCCTTATACTAAACTCTTTGCAAAATATAAACTAACTTATGCTTAAACTAAAGATTCCAAAACAGAAAGAGAAAATATACTAACATGTGCTTTGTACTGATGAATTTTCATATATAAGCCCCATTACTGTAGCTAACACTGCAGATAAAAGAAAACACATATTAGTAACAAACATTGAGAGACTGCGATGAATCTATACTAATCTGACGATATCTATACTATAAATGGCTAACTTAATTAATATGTGAGATATATAAGTACATATATTTTAAAGGGCATATGTGCAAATATTTTAAAGATCTTAAGCTATTAAAATCTATCTCCTATTCTAAATCGTTAACAAATTGGAATAGTATAGCAGTATAGATAAATCAGTTTTAAAAGGGTTCATTGTTGTAGTATAACAACTGTTTTCACGACCAAACTGGCATATTTAACCTATTAATATACAAGATTCTATGCTAAAAATAAGAATCAATCAATTAGATTTTATTATGAATATGGAAAAGAAAATATATTCTGTAATCTTTTCAGTTTAATGCTATCACACTAAATCAGGCTGAGACGATTTCTTTATAATCATTACATAACCATTTAACACCTTCAATCCTAATCTACAGCTACTCGCCTCATTAGCAAAGAAACATCTATAAGGTCAGTCTTTTAATCTCTTTCAACATATAACATGTTCATTGACAAATGACATAATTGGAATTATTTTTCCTCACAAATCTATTTTGTTTTTCAGAATGAAGAGAAGAAAAAATGTATCAGTAAAAGAAAATAACAATGTAATGCAGACACCTAACACAAAGCGTTCTAGGTCTCAGCTACATGATGAAAACATAAATCCAAATCTACAGAACCAACAAGATAGGAGTGATGTTCAAGTAAAAGGGATTTTTAATCGATTGAGATCTGGAATAGGTAACATACCAGCCCAGCAGTGTGATTCTGAAGCCTTACAGACAGTAACTGGTCCTTCTTCTTCTGCAGCCATACAAAAGGAAACACAAGGTATGTAAACATTTATATTCCAACAATATAGCATCTACATATGATGCTAACTAATAAATAACCATAATGTATAGGATTTGCATCTACAGTTACTTATAATACGAGTGTAAGATCAGCCAAAAAAACAGCAAGGACACAGAGAAGACCTTTTCAAGATGTGCAGAACATTATTAATACATCACAGCTTCACAGCGAGGTTCACCAAACTCCACTTAAGCCACCAGAAAAAAGGGGAAAAAGTGGAGTCCACCATCTGTTAATAGCAAACAAGGTATACATGCCTCTCAATAATATGAAACTATTACATAAAAAGTATTAATAGATCAACACTGATGGAATAATGTTTATTTCATGAAGCTGCTAAGGGTATTATACTTACCAATTCAAGAATCAATCCGAGGTTCCCAAAGTCTTTGGCAAAGGAGAAGAAAACATCTCACAAGAGTTATAATACAACAATCGAAGAAGACTCTGATGAGATCCTGAATTCAAAGGAAGAAACATATATTAATATGAGTAAGTAAAAATCATTATGATATATTTTCTAAACTTAATAAAGCATCCACTAATCAGGGGAAAAAACTATGATAGGTGATTTGGAGGAAACACGTGAACAGGTTTACGAGTGTAGTAGTCCAGATGAAAATGATTCAGAAACATCTGAAGATTATGAAACCATAGACGATATTCCAATCGAAGTCAAACAAAGATATGAGTTTTTATCAATGTTAGATGAAAGTTTGACCAAAGCTTTTGGAGAAAGAAAAACTCCTAATGTTTCTAGCAGAAAGAACAAAAACACAGGTACTACATCATTGGTTTATTTCTAATTCTTTTCTTACACAAACTTTACTTATGCTAAACTGTCTTTCTGTTATTGTAGAGTATCTAGATCATGGAGATCCTGTCTACTCATGTTCCTACTGCGGTGCTATTATGTGGTATGGCGAACGCATCAACAGACATAAGAAAGTTCGTAAACCAATTTTTACTCAATGTTGTCTGCAAGGATCTGTGAAACTGCCTTTCCTCCATAATCAACCAGAACTGTTATTTGCTTTGCTAACCAATGATGATGACATGAGTAGACACTTTAGAGAGAACATCCGAGCATATAACATGATTTTTTCATTTACTTCTCTTGGGGGTAAGTGTGATAATTCTGTTACAGCGGGAAGGGGTCCTAATATGTTTCAGATACAAGGAGAGAATTACCACTAGATGGGAAGTTTGAAACCTGGAGAAGGTGAATTTCCTAAGTTTAGTCAGCTATATATAGTTGACACAGAGAATGAAGTTGAAAACAGAGCAGGAATTTTAAGGTACATTTTCTAACTCAAAACAAGCAATTACAGTATCCAGACTTTGTGTTTTTTTTCTGTAAGTATTAGTGTCGTTGCTAACTAAATTTATATTTCAGCAAAGGAAAATCTGCTGGGAAATATAAGAAGAAGCCAGAGTTGAGAAAAGAAATAATTGAGGCGATAATAAAGCTGCTAAATGAAGTTAATCCATACGTTGCTCATTTTAGACAAGCTCGTGATAGGTTTAATACCAATCCTGAACAGAGCTTTCACATGAAAATAGTGAGTGACCGTGTCAAAGATGGAAGAACATATGCAGTGCCAACAGCTTCAGAGGTCGCAGCGCTGATTCCAGGTGATTTTCACATTGGTATGCCAAGTCGTGACATTATTATTGAAGAAAAATCTGGGTATTTACAAAGAATCAGTGAAATAGAACCATGTTATCTTGCTCTACAATACCCTTTGTTGTTTCCAAAGGGTGAAGATGGTTATAGGACAGGTATTCAGAAAGGGAATAACCATGGTAAAAAGAAAAAAAAGCCCGAAGGAACTGAGGAGAATGATTGCATAAGTTTGCGTCAATGGTATGCGTATCGTATACAAGAGAGAAAGAATGAACAAAGTATCCTGCTAAGGTCAAAACGGTTGTACCAGCAGTTCTTGGTTGATGCTTATACCACCATTGAAGCTAATAGGCTCAAATATATTAAACTGAATCAGTCAAGTTTACGAGCTACTAACTATGATTCAGTTAAAGAGGCGGCAACAGCAGGAAAGACAGATATGAATGAAGAAGGAAAAGCATTTTATCTACCAGCTACTTTTGTTGGTGGGCCAAGATACATGAAGAACATGTACATGGATGCAATGTCTACATGTAATCATTATGGATTTCCTGACCTATTCATTACGTTCACATGCAATCCAAAATGGCCTGAGCTGGTAAGATTCTGTACTGAGAGAAATTGTAATTCCGATGATAGGCCAGAGATCATAAGCAGAATGTTCAAAATGAAGCTGAATTCTCTAATGGATGATTTAACGAAGAAACATATATTGGGGAAGACTGTTTCATGTAAGTGATTTATTTTAATAGTTGCGTTAACAGTCTACAATTTAATTATCTGTTTCTGCTATTTTTTTAAATGTCGTTTAACTAATATTATTATCTCATGTTGTTCTCGCAGCAATGTATACAATTGAGTTCCAGAAAAGAGGTCTTCCTCATGCACATATATTGATATGGATGCATCCAAGTTCTAAGTTTCCAAAACCAGAAGACATTGATAAAATCATTTCTGCGGAAATTCCTGACAAGAATAAAGAACCAGAACTTTATGAGGTCGTAAAAGACATGATGATTCATGGACCATGTGGCGTCGTCAACCAGAATTCACCATGTATGCTTGAAGGGAAATGTTCTAAGTTTTTCCCAAAAAAACTTAGAGAACATACTAAGGTTGATAAAGAAGGTTTCCCTTTGTACAGAAGAAGAAAGACAAAGCTGTTTGTGGAGAAGTGTGGATTTAAGTGTGACAACGGATATGTTATACCCTATAACAAGAAGTTGCTGCTTCGCTACAGAGCTCATATTAATGTTGAGTGGTGTAACCAAACTGGCTCTATCAAGTACTTATTCAAGTATATCACTAAAGGGATGGACAGAGTTTCAGTAGTTGTTGAGCCTAATGAAAAGTCTACAAAGACTACAACTACTACAGAGAAGTCTGATAGTTCAAACAGTGGGGGCACAAGTAAAAATGAAATACAAGACTTCTTTAATTGCAGGTATAAAATCTACTTGGATTTAGGTAAATAGTTTAGATGCTTAACTCATTTCTAACTAATACATGTTTTATGATATTGTATCAGATATGTATCAGCATGTGAAGCTGGATGGAGAATCTTGAAAAATCCTATACATTATAGGTCAACGTCTGTTCAAAGATTATCCTTCCATCTACCAGGCAAACAACTATTATATTTTAAAGGTGATGATGAGGTGAAAACAGTTTTGAAAAAATCAGAATTACAGAATTCGATGTTTCTTGCTTGGTTTGAATTGAACAAGCGGTGTCCTAAAGCCAAAGATCTCACGTATACTCAGATTCCGGAATATTATACTTGGGATGGTAAAACAAGAACTTTCAATATGAGGAAGCGACCAGGGAAAACAATCGGAAGGATTAATTATGTCCCACTTATTTATGAGGAAGGTTATTATTTAAGAGTGCTTCTAAATCATCAAACTGGACCTGAAAGTTTTGAAGACATCAAAACAGTGAATGGCGTGGTGTACAAATCGTTCAAGGAGGCATGTTATGCTCTGGGTTTGCTAGACGATGACCAGGAGTATATTGATACAATAAAGACAACCAGTTTTTGGGCTACTGGAAACTACTTGCGTTGTATGTTTGTTGTAATGCTCCAGTCTACCAGCTTATCTCAACCAGAAGTTGTTTGGGAAAAAACATGGGAACTTCTATCAGAAGACATCGAAAGAAAAAGGAGAGAGTACTTTAAAAGACCAGGTAATTTTTGATCAAATAATTTAGTCTCTTTGGTTGGTTTAAAGAGTTGTTACTTTGCAATTTTAAGTAGTTTTTGTCATGATTATTCTGTCTTACAAATAACACTGTTTTTTTACATATTTTTGGGACACATAACTAACACTTACGGACGAGCAAAAACAGATGTTGGCTTTAAAAGAAATCAACAGCATCTTACGAAGCAATGGAACATCTCTAACAGCTTTCAGAACAATGCCACAGTTACCTGATGAGGAAATTGATGATAGTAATGTCTTGATACTTGATGAAAAAAGCTACGATCGCAATGAACAGAAGGAAAAACTTGAAGAATCGTTGCAGAAAATGACAGATGAGCAGAAGAGTGTTTATTTAGAGATCATCGATGCTGTTGATAATGACAAGGGAGGTGTCTTCTTTGTCTATGGCTTTGGTGGAACTGGTAAAACTTTTATATATACGACACTCTCAGCTTCTGTAAGATCTAGAGGTTCTATTGTGCTAAATGTTGCTTCCAGCGGCATTGCTTCTCTATTGTTACCTGGTGGGAGAACAGCGCACTCTCGATTTGGTATTCCAATAAATCCAGACGACTTCACTGTATGTAATATTGAGAAAGGTTCAAATCAGGCAGAATTAATAGAAGAAGCGTCTTTGATAATTTGGGATGAAGCTCCAATGATGAGTAAGCATTGTTTTGAATCTATGGATAGGAGTTTCAAAGACATTATTAAAGGTGGTGGAAACAAACCGTTTGGTGGCAAAGTAGTTGTTTTTGGTGGAGATTTCAGACAAGTACTACCTGTGATACATGGTGCTTCGAGAGCAGAAATTTGTATGGCTGCACTTAATGCTTCTTATCTTTGGAATCATTGCAAAGTTCTGAAGCTCACGAAAAATATGAGGCTACTTTCAAAGGATTTGAGTCCAAGTGAGGCTAAGGATATAAAAGAATTTTCAGAGTGGATTCTTGCAGTTGGTGATGGTAAGATAGCACAGCCTAATGATGGAGAAGTGATGATAGAAATTCCAGAAGAGTTTTTGATCACAAACGCTGATAATCCAATTGAGGCAATAAGCAGGGAAGTTTATGGAGATCCTAAGTTATTGAAGGATGAAACCGATCCTGTATTTTTCCAACAAAGGGCTATTTTATGTCCTACCAATGAAGATGTGGGTATTGTCAACGATTATATGCTTGATCAACTCGAAGGTTAGTCTCCACTACTCTTAATGTTTTAGGCATTTCATTGACATATTATGTATTATAAAGACATTTTAAATTATTTGTAGGTGATGAACAACTATACCTAAGTTCAGATTCTGTTGATCCTTCTGATATTGGAGGTGCAAATAATCCCGTGTTGACATCAGAGTTTTTGAACGGTCTAAAGATTTCTGGATTGCCAAATCATGGTATAAGGTTGAAAGTTGGTTGTCCTGTGATGTTACTACGAAATTTAGATCCAAGAGGAGGGCTAATGAATGGCACTAGACTGCAAATAACACAGATGGGTGATAAAGTCATTGAGGCTGTCATTATTACAGGTGATAGAGTCGGAGATAAAGTCCTCCTTCCCAGGATATTGATATCTCCATCTGATACTAAACTTCCGTTTAAAATGCGTCGAAGACAACTTCCAATAGCAATTGCTTTTGCTATGACCATTAATAAAAGCCAGGGACAATCTTTGAATAAGGTTGGCATCTATCTACCAAGGCCATGCTTTTCTCATGGCCAACTCTATGTAGCTATCTCAAGGGTAACTTCAAAAAAAGGACTGAAGATACTCATAGTGGACAAAGAAGGAAAGCCGCAGAAGGAAACGTTGAATGTGGTGTTTAAGGAAGTCTTTCAGAACCTATAAGGTTACACATTGCAAAAGTCATTTTGTTTAAGAGGTAACAATCAATAAAAACTGATTATTATTGTCACCTGTTACACTTTACTAATTTTTTATTGGTTGTCTGAAGCAGGTAGAAGCTGGTATGGAAATGGAAATTTGGTTGTAATCTCTTCAATCTACGACTTCCATTGAAGAGATTATTTTACCAAACTTGGTCTGTTATTCTCTCAATTCTCTTTTAATAATATAGATAGATTCAAAAATTTTGTTTATTAATATCAGCATAACTTTGTTTTAAATAATTTTTCATTTACATTTAAATCATATTAAGTACAAATATGTAAACTATTAAAAGTTTACTAATTCAAAAAACATATACAGAATCTAAATATTCTGTTAATTCATATAAACAAGTAGTATTACTTTAATATCTTATCAACCAATTGCAGAATTTAACATACATGTCAACAGAGATTATAGTAAAATCATTTTTGAAAAACAATTAACACAACACGATAACTGCATATCTAATTGTGGATCTAAATACATCTTGAAGAATTTAGACCTCACTAACCTTTATCAGTGCTTTCAGAATCTGGACTGGCTTTATCAGTGCTTTCAAATTTGCCTTCTTTAAAGATGTTGCCTGGTCTGTAAACATAGAATTATCTATCATCAGTACCATTATAATTGTAACTAACAAATAGCAAAAACTAGATCCTGTTACAAAAAATCTTATAGATATTTACTTATATATTCTATTATATAAAAAATCTATCATGAATAACAAAAACTAAAGAAACTTCCATATTTGACGGTTTATACAATCTAGACAAATCTAAATCGTTGCGTGTATCTTGAAAAATGTAAATTGTATCCTTTTGTAATAATTAGCAATGATTCGCATCAGTCTTTTCAAATTTTTATATTTTATATATTCTATTAACGATTCAGTTTCCTTTTCATTTTCTTTTAATCCTTTGCGTCTCTTAACCAATATATCTATATATATAGATATATGCGTTGAGAGATTTAAGAGTTACAGAGATATCTTCCCAGTTGAAAGGAAAACAAAATCTTTAAGAAACTATGGAGAAAATGCACCTTCTCTCTGATTTGCGAAGACATTCCACAAAGTGGAGGGTTTATGTTAAGATAATGAGTATCTGGCATCATAATCCTCCTTTGAATGGTGATCTAACTACAATGATTCTCGCAGATGAGAAGGTTTGTTTCTAAATCTATTGTTCTGTTTTACACCTTTTTAAAATCATGTTCTAGGGTTGAAAAACTACTTATCTGCTAATGTTTGTTTCCTTTGTATAGGGGAATTTTATGGACGCAACAATTCCACAAGGTTACTACCTCTGGAACTTTCATCCAGGACTCAAACAAGACGTTTGGTACTACATGACTGACTTTCAAGTCATCATACCTCCAAACCAAGTCAGATATTCAACTATGCCACTTCAGGTTAGGTTTATGAGAGAAACTACCATGTGGCCTGTTAGATCTAAGTCCTGGAACAATTACTGGAACTTTGTTTGGCCTGATACTGTCAGAAATGCTCATGAAGATGATAAAAACTCTGTCTCTGGTAATAATTTGTGAAATTAAATGTTTTATACCAAGATTTATTATATATGAAGACTTATATGACCATTTTCCTGTAATATTTACTTAGATGCTATGGGAGTTATCTCTGCTGTTTCCACCATAGGAAGGTTTCCATATGTGTGTCGCAGAGGAGAAACAGACTATGAATCTCGCTATGTCTGCTTCAAAATTAAAAATAATGTGTAAGTTTAGTTTACCCTCTGTGACAGAATTTCAATGGTTGTTCTTAAATTACTTTAAGAAATTGGATTGACTGTTCTTTTTGTTTGGAAATTAAACTTTTAATCTAGGGGGGAGACAATAAAATGCGTAGCTGTGGGAAAGTGGTGTGAGTTCTTTGTGAACACTTGGTCTCAGAAAATAAGCGGAATAAACTACAACTATGATAAGATTGTTGCAGTCTTGCGTTTCTGGAGAATAACTTCTTACTGTGGTTGGTTCTTATTATAGTTTTATGAACTGACTTTACAATTTTATTAGTTACATTGACTGAATCTTTTTTTTTTTCCTATAGGAAACAATGTTTTAATGAGTGAATATGGCTGTTCACGTCTATACATTGATCCAATCTTTTATGAACTTGACATTCCAAGTTATCTGTAAGTTAAAAATTCTCTTATAATTGGCATATATTTTGGTTGAGATTCATAGCCTAGGTAAACATAAATCATATGTTTTTTTGCAGGCGATCATTCGACGATGGATCAAGTGACGAAGATGATGTGATGATGGAGATGGTTGCTGAGAACTAACATGTGAAGGAAGGAGGGATTGGATTTGCAAGGTTACTTCAGTTTCTCTTAGTTTATGTTGTTTTTTTTAAAAATTTTCAGAGGGGATGAACTCTGTTCTACAGAGATTAACTCTGTCTTTTTGAAAATTTCTTTTTGGTATGAAAAACTCCTTTTGTAATCGACTTGAACTAATGTCTACTCTATTTGTTTCTTTTGCATTTAATCTCTATTTTACTCTATTTCCATATTAAGTTTTAGTAGCAGCCAACCTAAATTTAAGAGTTGTTTTCTAACAACTATATTGTAATCATAAATGTTAAGCTAAGCTATATATCTAACTATTATATATTGTATATAATTAGTTAGCATTGCCATTGATATAAATTTTCATATCATAATGTTTCGAGAATATACCTTATGTAATTGGTTTAAGATCCTAAATCATCAGTCAATCTTGATTGCATGATTTCTTTCCTTAATCTGCGCATATAGTAACAATAGTTAGCTTTTAAATATATGATTCTCATCATATTATTACTTATGAAATATAATCTTTCTAATCTATGTCATCATTACACATATATTGATCCTATGCAATAGTAATAATCGTATGAACAACTTATCTTTCTAAATCATCTTCTTTTGGCAACATCATCATCTATGTTATTAGCTGAAATCAATTTACGAACGACATGATGTTAATATATTTAAGGAAACAAAATCGATTGTTCAAATCTATATACAAACCAATTTTGAAATCTTTACAATCATGGCTCTGAAGATTTATGTAGATAGATTTAATTACTTTGTTAAATTTTAAAAATACAGTACATCAATTTGTGATTTCTGTATAAAAATTATTGAAATCAAATTTATTGGGTTTGAAACTTACTCAGAAGCTTGGGTTCTTCACAGTCATCTCCCAATGAATCTATTCAAACAGAGAATTGCACAAACTCGAAATCAAATCGACGAATTGGAAAAAATAAAAAGTTCTATAAAACTGAATCAATCACAAGTTTACCTGTTTATATAATTCGGAATCTGTGGTACAAACTTGATAAACAGCAACGACAAAGCTCGATCTAAGCAGTATTTCGTTGTTAATTTTCAGATCGAAGATTAGTATGAGAGTTTTCTAGGTTTGGTGTTTTGTAGAACCGATAAAGACAATAATGGTTGTTTAGACAATTATCTGTCCAAAAAAAAAAAAAAAAAAAAAACAGTTTGGTAAGTGGACCACAATGTATTTAGGCTCAATAGACAGGCTTTCAGATTAGATTTTATATGGCCCAAACGTCAAACTTAAATATATATCTATATCAAATTACAAACAAACAATTACATAAAATATTTATACATATCTAACTTATCTATTTATTCAAAATTTAAATCCAATTTAACATAAAAAAAGTTGATTTACGAAATTTTTTAAAAACATAGAAAAAATGAAAATACATTTATATTTCATTATCTATTTTAGTATCTGATACCAAAATCTTTTAAAAAAAATACAATAGTTACATCCAACAAAACACATATTATTGACAACAAATGTTATACAACACATTTTTAAAATCTTAGATCCCACACCAAAGTTACCAACAAACTATGTTCTGGTACGAGTGAAACCACGCATATACTGTATCTATTCAAAACAACTCTTCATAAATAAATTTACAAACAAAAAACAACTCTATACATAAATAATAAACCACAATTATAACCCCGCACGTATGTGCGGGTCCGGACCTAGTATAATTTATATAAGCAAACCAAAAAATATATATTATTATTATAAATAAAGGTAAAAGAGTCAAAAGTTCCAATTGTAAATGAATGATAGAAGAAAGAATTAAAAATATATATTTGGAGTGGTTTGGAATATTTTCTATACACAAAAAATATTTTCTAGTTATAAATATATTTAAGTTTAGTTAAGATATAGAAAATATTTATGAATTTGATAAGAGAGAACAATGTCATCGTACTATTTTATATTATGGTTGCAATTAGTGGGCTTTTGACTTAAAGTTGTATCCTCTTATGCAAACCCATTTGTGGCATCTGTTTGCCGGAAGACTCTTTCGTCGTGCAGGTATACAAATCTTCAGAGATCGATAATGCCACCTGCACGGCGAAAGAGTCTTCCTATACGGTCACCCAAAGAAGATATGAAGAAGAGAGATGGAGACAGCAAGAGACACGAGCGTGAAGAAGAAGAATCATCTAGGTATGTCTGTTTGAATTTATTTTTGTTTAGTCCTGGCAATTTCTTCTAATTCCCGAGTTGTTGAAACAAAATAAAATACTATGTCATTCTGATTTCTTACAGGCCAATGCGCTGTTCTTCTGGTGCTAAGCCAATGACTCGTAATAGGGCCACACAGCATATGAGAAGTCCCCTGAATCCTGAAGAAATTAGCGAAACACTCACTAAAGCTGAAAATTCTGCTGTATGTTTTCACTAGTTTTTGTTTGCTTTCGTCATGTCTTTGATGTTTTTTTACAAATTTGGTTGCCTGAAAATAGGCCTCTGGAGGGCCGGGAAAGAAGAGGGCTTATGCTGTGATGAATGATAATACTCCTCCAGTTAGAAGTAAGCCAGCTAGGGTATCAAAAGCAAATGTGGTGAATGAGACGATATTCACTGAAGATGATGCGTTAGTAATACTTCAAGAGATTTTCAGCTTTTACAAGACTTCTGGCGATCCTAAGGAAAACTTTAAAAAGGATATGTCTTCTTCTGGCGACCTGTCTGGCTTTTGTAACCATTTGAAGCCAAAGATTATGTGCAAACCTTCTATCGCCCAACTCAAAAATAAGATTTATAACTTGAGGAAGTCACTTGCAAACATTTTCAATTTTGTGGTTACGGCAGAAGGTGGACTAGACATGGTAGTAAATTTTTAGTTATTATAAAAAGAACATCGTATATATGTTAATAGATTGAGTTTTAGCCCAATAATTCTTATTCAAACAAGTTAAATATTACAGAGCACAATCATTACTTGTGTTAACAATAGATTAATGGGTTCACATTTAACTGCTCTAACAAAATGAATTACAAATAATTGTTCATATAGTTAAGTATCAAATTGAACCGGGGTCAGTTGAACCCGTATCCTACAACATGGGCCGTCGGTGGTTAGTCTTGATGTCTTAGAGTGAATGGTATTTTAGATAAATAATGGTTTTGAAAAAATGGCAACTATCATAATCGATATTGAATTTCTTATAATTGAGAAATTTTCACCTTAAAGAACAAGGAATCAAAGCGAAGCACATGATATTTATGAATTACTTTTATGTGATTTTTTTTTATTGTCCATGTATTCATTTTAATTTGTATCTTTTTATTTAAAATTTTGATTATTCTCTTCGTACATCAAATTTATAAACATTTTTAGTACAAAATATTTATATTTTTAATAGACTGATTACTTCTATTAAACATAATCTAGTATTACTATATATAATTTCTTTTTTGATACGCTTTTCCAGTAAGATGTATCATGATCTACTTATTTTTTTAGTGATTACTTTGTATCCACGGATGGATTAGTAGAATCTCTTACTTTTAGAACAGCTTTCTCGACATGTTTTTAAGTGAAGATGAAGTTTTTCAGCAGCGGTGCATCGGTTTAGGGTGGGTTAGGGACCAGGGAGGTCACTTCGAATGCTGTGTTTTTCTCAACAAGTGTCATGCCAAGTGTAATTCTTTACAAGAACAAGATGCTGCAGCACAAATATTGTTGATGCATGTCCGTTTCAATGTGATTACTTGAAAGATAGGTAAGCTAACTTTTTCTCTCTTTTGTTTCATATTTGGATAGTTTTTAATATATGTGGATAATGGATATTCTTGGTTAATCTAATTCTGATTTGAATGTTTAAATTGGACAGTGTTGTAGTTATTAGGAACGATGGATTTGTATTTTGCACATTGAGAGATATTGCGAAATCTTGCAAGAGTATGATGGCATCATGTGTTAGACGGATATGTCACTATGAAGAAACACAATCATGTGCTATCATTGTTGAAAAAAAGCAACAGATGAAAACACACCACATACTTCTACACAAAGAGAATCTAACATATCGTCATCATTTAAGTTGGAGGAACATGAAGTTGGCCTATCAATAGTCAGTTCTCGGTTTGTTGGTGCGAATCTCTCATACTATTGTGTTGGGACGTCACTCAATTTTCCAAGAGAGGATGATATTATGTGATGATATATATGCCAACTCGAATCATAAAAAAATACATTGACAAATATATACATAAACAGACTATATGTATATTGATCTATGTTGTAAGTTATACAGTAGTACTAAGAAGTGAAACCTATAGTAATAAATTGGAGCTAAGACAAGTAAATATTATCTACAACTCGAAGTGTAAAACATACATAGAACAATACTTGCTATTACTTCAACCGATTCTGCTGTTCATTGAGCAAATACCAAGATGTTCCAATATAGTTTGATTTCGGTATACTAGTTGAACATCTATACTAATTTATATTTGATTTTATGGCCATTTTGTAAAAATATTTCCTTAATGTTTATGTTGAGATCTGTCAAGTTACAAAGTTTTGCTCTGCTTAGTTCGATTGATTTCATTTTGATGGCCAAACCGTTCCAGCTAAACTATTTTCAATATATTGTCAAATTTGTTTTGCTTACTAAATAAATTAGCATTTCAACCCAAAAAAAACACACTTGTGTGTTTAGTGTTAGAATGAATGATATTTTAGATAAAGAATGCATTTTGAAAAGATGACAACTATATGCCATCAAACCAATATTCTTAATACATTTGCATCATGATCGATATGAATTTCTTATAATTGAGAAATTTCACCTTAAAGAACTAGAATCAAAACGTAGCTCATGATATTTGTAAATTATTTTTATGTGATTTTTTCTCTATTGTCAATGTATTCATTACAATTTGCATCTTTTTGTTTTTTTTAGTTTGATTTATCTCTTAGTACATCAAATTTATAAACATCTTCTTATTTCATTATATGTGCTATTATCTTTTTCAAATTTATGATTCGCTACTTCTTTAAAATTAGGTTGCTAAAGATTTTGTGAGACTGATTAGTTCTAAGATTGGACCATTTTTATTTTTTCAAAACAAAAAAAAGATTGGACCATTTAAGTAAATATGGACAGCTAAATCTAAAATATCATTTGCATCGCCGACTGCTAATCGTGTACTATCTTTGAACTGTGAGATTTGGAAAATAAATTTGTTTGTATGTACTCCTTGTCACAAAAGGTAAGCTACTAACCTCTTATATGAAGGTTTTATTTAATTGTTTTGGAGTCCATATTAGGATATTTTGTTTAATTATTTTCTTGTTTGTTAAAGGTTAAATTATGTTGTAATTAGATATTGTCATTGCGTCAGAGATGGAGTAACCATACAACCATTCAAATGATTGATAATAAAGTTTTGTTGTTAGTGATGCTCGATATATCATCATATCACATAGCAGACTTAACAACATGGTGGTTGGCCAATGTATTCTAGGGAGTTTATAACATAAATAAAGGTAGAACCCTCTCAAAACTATCATATAAAGATTATGCTCAAGTACAAGTATCAATTATCTTTTCTACAGTAACTTGGACAGTTAAAGTTATATATTCATTCTATTTACAGTCTACTAGTATTTAGAGGACCACGAGACGAAGATGAGACTAGCAAAATGCTCGTGCTAAACATTTCATTGCTGGAGACTTTTTAGAGTCTTATATGACTTTATCTACCGTAGATCATATGAAAATTACTAAGAAGATAAAGATACATGTTGGAACACAAAAACCAATACTTGAATATCTCTTAACCTATTTCATTGTTAGTTTAAACAAAAAGGCAGAAAATACTAGAAAAATTGTATCTTGAATTTGCTCTTACAATATTTTTCTTTACAAATAATTTTAAATATTCTATTTTTAATATTATATGAAAAATATTATTAAAAAGTTTTAACAAGGTTTATTGTTTGGCAGATGCTACTGATGAAAACACAGATTCAACTAACACATTTGTTTTGACAAATCAAGAGAAAAACTCTCTACACAAATCTCGTAAGGTTTTACTCCTAACCTCGAACGATCTATTCTCCAACATTAAGCCGGTTTAAGATCTGTACTCATGTTATTTTTATTTTAGCTAGCATTGTGCTATATAGATTTCTTCATTTTGGACTAGGTTTGGTCATTGGAGAAGTTCGTTATATTTTCTTTGATTTTATGTTTGTATTTCTTTAGAGATGAATTTTCTCTTTTGATTTTCATGTAGTAGACATGTATTAGGAGAATATTCTTTTGGAAGAGCTTCGTAGCGGCTCGAAGCTATGACACTCTGAAGATCTTCGAAAAAGAATTTTTTGGAGTTTATTGATAGAGACTGAAAATCTAACCCACAATTGTTAGTGGGGGTGAATTGTAACACCCCGATTTCAGAATTATGGTGGTGCATGCGGAGATGTTTAAAAGAATTGATTTGACCACCTATGTCACCAGAGTGCACTTATCTCTTCGGTCAACTGTCTTGAGAGAACTCCACAGTTAAGCGTGCTTGGGCTGGAGTAGTTTCAGGATGGGTGACCTTCCGGGAAGTGATAGTCGAAACTTTGTGAGTGAGGACAAAACACATGGAAAGATCATGTGGTGATTTGTAGGGTCGGTAAACAAGTCTTTAAAACCTCCCGAATGTAGCGGACCGACCGTCAGACACGGGTGGGCCCACGGGCCGAGAGAGGACGTGGGCCAATTTAGAGAGATGGTGGTCAGAGCGTTATAAATTTACTAAATTCTGTAAATGTAAATTTTATATCTAAATTCTGATTTCACTAATGTCACACGGGTCAATCTCTAAATGTGTAATTGAGTTACTAAATTACATCTGTTTTATGGGTTAAATCTTAAAAACCAAAAAGTATAATCATATAACTTTAATACTAGATAAAATTTATTGTAAAAATCCAACATTTTAAGTTTTTATAAGTTTTAATCTCCGTCCAAATGTGTAATTGCAATACTAAATTATTCAATTACATATGTTATACATGTTAAATCTAAAAATACCAAAAGTTTAATTCATATAACTTTAATACTAAATAACAAAATACCAAAATCTAATATTGCTATATATATAAATAAAATATTGTCCCGGTTAAATCCTAGATTTTTGAAATTTTTACATATAAAAAGGACCAAAAAACATACAAAATAAATACAATAAATTCATCAGCTTAAAATAAAATTATAAAATTAATTAAATATTTTAACCCGCGGGTCATATCCTAGTTTTTTTAAAAAAAAATTGGGAGTCTTTGAAAATACCTTTAGTAAAAGCGGTTGTAATAGCGGTTTAACATAAAACTTACCAAAAAATATATAAACTATATAATTTATATAAGCAAACCAGAAACTATATATTATTATTATAAATAAAGGTAAAAGACTAAACGTTCCAATTGTACATGAATGATAGAAGAAAAGAAAGAAATAATCAAAAATATTTATTTGGAGAGGTTTGGAATATTTTCTATACACAAAAAATATTTTCTAGTTATAAATATATTTAAGTTTAGTATATAGAAAATATTTAAGAATTTGATAAGAGAGAACAATGTCATCGTACTTTAATGGGCTTTTGACTTAAAAGTTGTATCCTCAATCTCGTCTTCCTCCTTGCTAGGGTTAGTTAATCCCGTCTTCCTCCTTCCGTCAAAAAATCGATCGCCGTCCTTACTGATTGCGAATTGGGGATATATAGAATCGCCGTCCTCCATTGAATCGCATTTCCAGTGTCTATTGATTCACGATTGGATTATGATGAAACGCTCGCTCAGCCCCGACTCTTTATCCTCCGCGAAGTCGCCGAAGCTCTTTCACCACTCACCGGATGATGGAGGAGCAGAGGGCAATTCTTATCGTCTTCCTTATACCTTAAGCGATGAAAACCTCTCCTGCCTTCCTATATCCCAGGCGAGGGAGCCTCCTGCTATTTACCTGGATCCCGCTCTTGTTAAAGGTACGTTTTTTTTTTATTTTGTGATTTTTCTGTTCGTCGATTGATTTCATGTTTTGATATCATCCAAATTAGTTAGACGAGACAGAAAAGAAGGATACTTAGCAAAAGCTTGGGACTTGCTAAAGCCAGCGATCAAAATCATCTTAGATGATGAATACAAGAAGCCTGGCGTTCTCTGTTTCAATACGATTTTTAGAGCTGTTAAGCGTGCTTGCTTTGGCGATCCTCGACAAGTAGAACTGATTTTCGATCTTGTCCAGCATGAGTGTGAGCCACACATTGCTGAGGTTATACAGTCTTTAGAAAAGCAAAGCAGTGGCAGTGATCCCTCTGTTTTCTTGCCACTCGTGTACAATTGCTGGCTAGACTTTAAAAGGAAGATGATGCTTGTGTCTGACGTACCATGTATCAGACTCTTAATGGGTTGACATTGTGGGACGTGGGCCAGAAGCTTTTCCATAAGCAACTCTCCACGGCCCCTCAACTTCAAGATCAAGTTATTACCGGCATTTTAGGACTCATCACTGATGAAAGGTTAGTATGTAAGTAAGAGGAGTCTCTTCTTTCCTTAACCGTTCCAGTCTCGATCTACTCACTCTTTCCCTTGCATTTTGTGTTATGTTTGTCTACCAGATTAGGCAAGGCTGCTAACAACACTAGTGGTCTCCTAAAGAATCTTATGGACATGTTCCGTGGGCAGTGGCCAGATGTGTATAAGAACCCTTTTCTTGATTCCACTTCTAAGTTTTACGCCGAGGAAGCAGAGCTAGTCCTGCAGCGGTCCGACATTTCCCACTACTTGAAATATGTCGAGGTACTTAGCGTTTTCATTTTATTTTTTTAGGCGTTCCTTCCTAAACCCTGAAAATGAAAGCTATTCTTCTGGTGATTGTTTGTTGCAGGGGAGTTTCCTTGCGGAAGAGAAAAAATGCGAGGAGCATTATTACTTCTTTGCATCTTGCCGGTCACGACAAATGAAAGTCTTAGAGAGTCAGCTCCTCGAGGCTCACGCTTGTTTCTTGAAGATGGTTTTAAGCTATTAATGGATGAGAGTCTCATGGATGACCTTAGAAGAATGTATCGTTTGTTCTCTAGGGTAGATTCGGTGGATTATATAGACCGCATTCTGAGAGCCTACATTTTGGCAAAGGGAGAGGGAGCGAGGCAAGAAGGCTCCTTGCAGGAGTTGCATACTAGCATTGATAAGATATGGCATCAATGCTTTGATGTGTATGATTTATTGGATAAGACCATCAGAGACTGTTTTGAGGGTTTTGGTCTTCATGTGCTGGTATGACTTTTATTATTATTATTTGATCCCCCTCTTATTGATTCTTGAACTGTATATATGAAAGAAGTGTATGTGATTCTTTTTACAGGGTGAATTTTCGGATCAAGAGCAATGGGATTGCATGGAGGATTAAAGCTGTCTTGTCAAATACATGGAGGGTCGTTTATTTACTGTTAGTAGAAGGTGTGGTTGTTATTCTGGTATTGTGTTACGTTTCTTAATCAGCCAACGGGCTAAATAATGTAAGTAATACATATGCCGTTCATGTTCTACAGAATTGACTACATGGTTTATAGTCTTCTCAGAATCTTATGTGTGTGTACTTGTTTTTTCAGATCAGTCTTGTCAACAAGAAGGTAATTAACTAGAATCCACCCTTGGATCTGCCATATTTCTTCTAAATCAGTTTTGACCAAGCAAGCTCCACAACTCGTCCTGTCAAATAGTTAAGAAACAAAACAGGACAAAAGCTGAAAAAAGAGCTGAAGTTTTCGAAGATCAAACTTATAGAACAGAACATCTTGGTTCTAGGTTTGAGGATATAAAAGAAGTTTGTTTCTCTTGACAATTCCCTAAGGTCCGTAACTCATCTTCCTCCTTTGTTCATTGAAAAGATAAGAACTAATTGATCTCTTTTAAAGTCTTGTTTTCAATTCCATAGTCCTCTCACATTGGATGATTGATATACTGTAAAAGGATCCATCTTGTGCTTTTAGTACCACATTTTTAGATTGCAAAATGCTATTGGTTTAGTGATTCGACCGGATTTGGTTCCGCAAAAGTTTGTTTGTGGACATGCTATTACGGAACAATTGGTCAAGTTGATGTTTTAAACATTCAATGTCTCTGAATTTTATGCATCAGAGCAAGCAGTGTTGTCCCTTTATGCTGTTGGACACATCTCCGGTTGCACCGTTAATATTATTGGTCATGGGAAGATACGCAGAATAACTTGGTTGGACTCTTTGTGTCTTCTCACTTTTTCATATATCCCTCGGTTATGTGATTTATATTACAGGAGTTGTTGTTCCCTTTACTTTACTAGCCTTTTTCTCTCGGTTTTTCAAAACCATATTTGTCCCTGCAGTAGATTGGAAGGTTCTTGTGTTTGAAGCTGGGTACGATCAGGATGCTGTTATGTCTAAGGTTTTGCCATTAATACAGTTCAAATGGCTAATTGAGTTCTCTGTGGATCGAGAGTGGTTCCCTGTGATCAAAAAGCTATATTAAAGATGTTCTTTGATGGAGCTATTGGTGATTTTTCTTCCTCTTCACACAGCCGTAAGGAGAAATCTAAGCCTAGGGTTAAAAATGCTTTTGAGATACATTCCCAAGCAGCAAAGAAACAGCTTGTTTCAATGCAAGATCAATAAAAAGTCAATATCCAAAGATCATGTTGCGGTCAACATCACTGCTCCTTTCTCAGGCAGAGCAGAAAGAACCAAAATTAGGTCCAGACAGAAGATGGTAAATTAAAACGCACATGTTTGGATTATAATTGTTCAATTTGGTTCCGGTTTATATTCCTGAAATCACTCATCACCTAAATTAGGCATAGAGTGCTTCCTCCATTCTTAGCTTTGCCTGTACCTCCTTTGGCCTCGGTTTTTGCCCAAGTTAGATACGTGGATGAAAACTTCAAAGAGATACTAGAGCAACACAACGTGATAAACACACGTTTATCCAAGTCTTAAATACTATTTTATCAGAAAGGAGGCAGCCATATAAGCACTTAAACATCAAATCCATAAGTTTGCATCACCACTTAACAAGCACCAACCATTAGCAACTTAGCGTAACATAATGAGAATGCAGACAGTCTGTCTCATGTCCTCCTCGCTTCTGTTTGTAGAGGAATTGGTCAACCTAAGACATCCATATAAAAAAGTCAATGACAAAACAAGAAAGAACAAACCGCTTTTGGAATGTCTTGAAAACAGGAATGAAACACACAAAATTGCAACTGTGTCCTCACGTCATATGAGACGTTATGCTTACCTTTTCATCGAACTCAAAAGTCAAGAGTCTCCGACCCTGCAGAATTTGGTCAACCTAAGACATCCAAATAAAAAGTCAATGACAAACCGCTTTTGCAATGTCTGAATGAAACACACAAAATCAACTGTGTTCTCAGATCATATGAGACGCTCTGCTTACCTTTTCATCAAACTAGTCAAGAGTCTCCGACCCTGCAGACATGGAGAATTTGACTTGAAGTTCAGGATTCATAAGTTTTAAGATACAATGAACTCACCCGCTAATGAAATAGGGCGAGATATTTAAGAATGTGCTTCAATGTAAGAACATTGACAGGGCCGGTCCGCATGTTCGAATGCCCTATAATTTTTTTTTTGCAAAATCACAAATAATATTAATATACAGTAGAACTTCTATAAATTAATACTTGATAAATTATTAAACACGATAAATTAATAAATTTTGCCGGTTCCGAGTCGGGTCAATGCAAAAATAACAAAATTCGATAAGATAATAAGACAATAAGTTTTTTGAAATTCTTATGTAAAAATATAGGCCAAATAATATCATAAATTAATAATCATGTAAATTTGCACATGTATATATATATATTAATAGTTTTTGTGTTTTTCATAAAATAGCCAAAAGTTGGTGTAAGTTTTCAAATTTTGAATATGCATAATTTTTTTTTTAATAGTCGTATAGGTTTTTAAAATACAATGGATGTCACTATTTGTGAATTTTAATATATGTATATCGTTTGTATATGTGAATTCTAAAAGCGTTGTTATTCATTGTCAAAAGAAATTATTTTCTTTTCGAAATATCAAGTGATTAAGTCTAAAACTATAAAATTTATAATATCCAAAACATTAATTTTATTTAGATTACATTGCTTTAGCTCGTATTTAAAAAAAAACAGTTTTCCCAATTGAAAAAAAACTTTCTATAGATTAATACATATTAATTTATAGATGAATTAATATCACCATAAATTATAAAATATCATGGTCCCGACATTATTAATTTATAGAGGTTTTACTGTATAAAGGTTCTACTAAAACTTTATAGAACATTTTTTTATTTCATAAGCATTTTGTAAAAAAAAAAAGATTAGATTTTTTAAATATACCTCTCTATTTAGACTTTGTAATCATTCATCAAATTCATGTAATCGAGCTTTTCAACCATAGTTTTTTCAATTGATTTCAAAGCCAATCCATTTACTTGACTAATCAAAGCAAAGTTTTTTTTTTATTATTTTGTAATTAAAGTCTAAGTACCATACCTTAGAAAGTCTTTGATTTTTGATTTTGTTATAAAGTCTTCCATTTTACAAGCAATTTAAGGATTTATTTTTTTAAACCCAAAGTTTTACTAAACTAAATTCATTAACAAGACATTTAATTAACTTAAAGGCTTAAAGTGCACTAAATATGATGAAAAAAAAGCTCAACAAAAAATGAATTTATAAAAATGTCTTTTTAAACATAAAATACCTTTAATTTTTTTTTCTAAAATATGTTCTCTCTACTTTAATGCCCTAAGCCATGGTTTCACTTGATTGTGTGGTACGCCGGGTCTGAACATTGATGTTCATGTCATTAGCAATTTCCAACTGATCTTCCATAGACAGAATCATAAAAGACTCAAGAAAGTCTCCATCAATGAAATGCTAGTGCGAATCATCTTTTAGTCCAATGCAGTCGTGAGCCTTAAACTGGACAAAATCTTTCCTTGCCTTTCTCGCCAACCTCATCTTCTTCTCGAGGTTCTTTAAATACGAGTAAACTTCATATGGGAAAGAAACTATAACTCCTACTGCCCCCGTTGTTGTGGAAAACAAAACCGATGGTACCTGAGCATAATCTTAATCTGATAGTCTTGAAAGGGTTCCGCCCTTTATTTGTGTGATGAACTCCCCTGAAAACCATCTGCCAACCATGTTGTCAACTGAGCTGTGTGACATGATGATGTACTGAGCATCGCTAGAAAACAAAACCCCATTTTCCATCATCTGAATAGCAGTGTGGTTACTCCGATTCTTTGGCGTAATGATTACGTCGTGCTTAACCTTAAAACAGCCAAGCAACCAAACAAAATACTGAGTTATGCAACAATAATAGTAAAAACGCAAAACAGCTAAATAAAACTTTAACATAAGAATTAAGTGACTTACTTTTTGGGACAATGAACGCATGCAAGAAAATCTCTCATATAGGTCAAGGCAGCATCGACATAATAAGAATAGCACATGCGTTTTTTCTTGGCTGCTTTTATATCGTTGTCAATACGATCGGGACGGCACGCCATTTATAAGTGCCAAGCACTTAATGCATGGTAATGCTCGTCCCATCCAGCTCATACGTTAGCTTCACTGACTAAATCAATTGAAACGTAATCCCAGCATAAGAAGTGACCTCCCTTGTCCCTAACCCACCCTAAACCGATGCGCCGCTGCTAAGAAACTTCATCTTCACTTAAAAACCAAGTAGAGAAATTTATTCTAAAAGTAAGAGACTCTACCAATCCATCCGTGGATACAAAGTAATCACTCAAATAATAATAAAAGTAGATCATGATACATATGACTGGAAAAGAGTATCAACAAAAAAATTATATATAGTAATACTAGATTATGTTTAATAGAAGTAATCAGTCTATTAAATATATATATATATATATATATATATATATATATATATATATATATATTGTACGAAAAATGTTTATAAATTTGATGTACGAAGAGAATAGTCAAAATTTTAAATAAAAAGATACAAATTAAAATGAATACATGGACGATAAATAAAAAATCACGTAAAACTAATTCACAAATATCATGTGCTTCGCTTTGATTCCTTGTTCTTTAAGGTGAAATTTCTCAATTATAAGAAATTCAATATCGATCATGATAGTTGCCATTTTTTCAAAATGCATTTTTTTATCTAAAATACCATTCACTCTTAACACATCAAGACTAAACACCGACGGACCCATGTTGTAGGATACGGGGTCAACTGACCCCGATTAAATTTGATACTTAACTATATGAACAATTATTTGTAGTTCATTTTGTTAGAACAATTAAATGTGAACCCATTAATCTATTGTCAACGCAAGTATTGCTTGTGCTCTGTAATATTTAGCTTGTTTGAACTCTTCTTATTGTTATTGGGCTAAAACTCAATCTATTAACATATATATATATATATATATATATATATATATATGCTGTTCTTTTTATAATAACTAAAAATTTACTATAGACATAAAATAAACCTTTAGAATAATTACTGTGAAAAATATATTTTGATATTAATATTTGTTTTTAATATATAATTGGACCCCGATAAATTTTTTTCTGTAGCCACTGACACTAAACACCAAAACTTTTTATTTTGGTTAAAATGCTAAAAATAAAAATTTAACATCTAGATTTATTATTTATTGCAAATTATGAGAACTGTTACATAAACAATTCTACAATGGACAATTTTTTCCGATTTTTATTAGATCCACGACAGACGATCCTTTCTTCTTCATGTTAATTTATTTAATAAACAAAAAAAATTACAAAATTTTGAAAATAGCGAATGGTTTGGGCTTGGCCATCAAAATGAAATCAATACTAATACTTCGGGAGCGAGGAAAATAAAATACTACAACACTCATTCGTCTTCAGAAGATGTTGTTGTCATTTTTTCATAATATATATATTATTGCCGTTTTAAACTTTGGAGCACTCTCAGTCTCTGGTATCAAGAATTATCACATTTTTTGTAGTAGGTTTTCAGTTAATATTGGTCCACCTCATCTTCTTAAATGTTATATCTAATCTCATTTTCTTGGTTGTCATTATCGTCCTCTTCTTGGCTCTCTCGATCGTCATCTAACAATTCATATTTTACATTTAAATTTAATTCTTTTTATGTGGATCTTTAAATTATGTAAGTTATTAAAAACAAGAATTATTTTGATATTTTAGTTTGATGGTGTATACCGAAATCAAACAATATGTAAAAATTAGCTTTTTTCGAAACATCATGCGCATTAAAAATTCGTAATTGCTACATTCATTTTATATTTAAGTATCATTTGAAATTTTTTTTTATTATTATTCTACGAGTAATTAAAATATTCATATGTTTTTTTCTATAATAATACTCCCGCTGTCCCACAAAGATGAATTTTTTTGAAAAAAAATTTGTCCTATAAAGATATAAGTTTTGTGTTTCCAATGTCAAATTTAAAACAGTTTACCTATTTTATCCTTATTAAACAACAATAAATAATATACTCATTAAAATATGTTAAAAAGTTCAAAAGTTAAAATTGTCATTATATTATTTCTTAAAAAATGTGAAATTTCTAAAAAATCTATATTTGTAGGAAGGAGAAAGTACGAGATAATATGAAAAAGTGGACTTTATTTTTAAAAATCAAATCGTTTAATGACCCTTATTAATTATTATTGAAAGTATTAAAAAAACAGAAAAAATAGAAACGTAAGGCATAGAGAATTCGTGTAAAAAAATCAACGCCAACCAACAAAACCTCCTTTACCTCTTCTTCCTCCTCCCAACTACTAAAAATGTCCGATTCAATTAACCGGAGAAGAGTCACGGCGACAGACGGAACCCGAGGCCGGAGCCCCAGGACCAAACGTCCGACGAAGCACCACGCGTCCCGTCGTATTCCTAGTAGGATTAGCTCAAAATCTTATAAGATCCTCAGTCGAAGTTTCTCGGAGCCAAATCTCCATGGAAGCAGCAATAGTGAAGATGATGATGATTGGCGTTGTTCTACACAGATGAAAGATCTCCCACCGGAAGAACCCGAGCAGATTGTTTACCTCTCGAAGATCCGTTCAGAGGTTTTCGCTTCAGCTCCGTCGTTATCTGGATTCTCTTCGCCGTCTTCTTCTTCTTCTCCGATTAATCAACAGGTTACCTAGATCATTTCTATTAAGTATTTAGTCCTTCATGCCTTGATGTTTTTAAAATTTGACACAAATATTTAAAATGTTACAAACTAACCCATTCGAGACAGTCCAATTTAACCATTGTGTCTTGAGCCTTTATGCATAGCAGTTTGCCTTGAAAAAGAAGTAGAAAGATTCTGAATTTCAATGGTTATGTTTGTTTTATTCCAAAAATCAGGTTTACAAGAGAGAAGCAGCAAAAGTGATGATCAATGTATCAGTAGAAGGAAGTCCAGGACCGGTGAGGACTTTGGTTAAATTGAGTTGCAATGTCGAAGAAACGATTAAGATGGTCGTGGAGAAGTACCGTAAAGAAAGACGAACACCAGAACTCAATAGAGATCTTAACTTTGAGCTGCATCAGTCTCATTTTAGTATTCAGTGTAAGCTCCACAACTCAATCTAGTCCGGTTTAAGTCTTAGAACTGCGAGTTAATGGTTGCAAATTTTCAAACTATTAAGGTCAAATTGTGGAACAGAACAAGACATATATCATTAGAGATGTTAGATGTGAATCAGCAACCATTGACACGGATTTTTCTAATCCATAGGTTTGGAGAAAACCGAAGTAATCGGTGAAATAGGCAGTCGAAGCTTCTACATGAGGAAAAGGGAACCAGACAATCTGATTGCGGTGAGAAGGAGTCTTCCTTCATCATCGAATTTAATTGAATCTTTCATTGCACAGAAGATTGGGAGAATCGTGAGGAGGACAAAGAAGATATGGAACATCTTGGTATGTGCTCAATGAACAGCAAAACCGGTTGAAGTAATAACAAGTGTTGTTCTAGGTATGTTTTACACTTGGAGTGGCACATAATATTTACTTGTGTTAGCTCCAATTTCTTACTTATAGGTTTCACTTCTTTGTATTAATGTATAACTTACAATATAATTCTATATACCTATAGTCTATTTGTGTATATATTTGTCAATGTATTCTTATACGATTCGAGTTTCTTCATTTTTAATTGAAATCCGAATTGTAAACAGAAACTTGTTTCATTAGGAGTCTTTTGATACTAGTGAGCGTTTGGTTTTGGTGTAGTTTGGTTAAACAGAAACCCAATTAAGGAGAAACCTAATTTACTTGGAAGCTATTATGTTTTGGTTAAGATTACATTGGTTTGGTTTATTTTTCATTTTTTTTATTTAAGATTTTGCTACACTGGAGAAGAACCTTATAATGTAAAACCGATGTTTTTCGGTTCTGATTGATTTGGCTAGGTCCGGTTATTTGCTTACCTAACTGGCTAACTGCAATCGAGCATATTATTTTTTCATTAAAAGATTGGGTAAATTTTGGGGTGATTTAGGTGAATAACCCAAAAAAAAAGAAAAATTAGTGTTTTAGAAAGAAGTTAGAGAGAGATAGGAAGAGAAAGAGAGTGAATAGAGGGATTAGAGGTTAGATATTTAATTTTGTTTTTTTTTAGGTTATCTAGTGCAATTTCTCTAAATTTTTTGGTCATGCATAGATATGTTTTTCTTTTTTTTTTGTCAACTTATCCCTTATATATTATTTTTAAAAACGGATATGCTTTTTCATAAAGAATATTCTTGTTTCATACTTCATTACTTCTATTCAAATAAGGGATGCCATGGTCGGTTGACTTAGTTTATGTCAAGAATAAGACCACCGCCCAAAAACATTAAGCTAAGAAATTTATGCATTTATATGAAACCAAAACCATTGGATATAGAGTTTACTTAGGCCATGAATGGATGCTGTTTTTTAATTTGGTTTCCGGATTTTGTTTTTAGTTTTTAAATTTTAGATTTTGTAATTAGATTTTTGTTTTAGAAACCCCAAAAAAATGGTTTTTGGTTTTTGAGAAAAATAATCTAGAGGATGTAAAAACTAGATTCCTTAAATTTTAGGAGAACTAAAAATCTAAAATCTTGAATATAAGATCACAACAAAAAAGTTTTCCTAAATTGTAGGAAAACCAAAATTTGAAAAACTTTAATTGGTGTGAAATAAGTTTTTAAAAAACAAAAACTAAAAACATTCAAGGCAAAGCTCGCAGGTTATTTGAATTTGAGTAGGATTCACATTACTTTAGCTTCTTTGTTTTCCTCTTATTCAAAAACTGATATATGTAAAATAAAAACAAAAAAGATGGTGGTTTCCTAATTTGAATCAATTTCTACAGATTTAACTAGATAAACAAAAAAGTAGCTTAGGGATGAAATATGTAGCTCAAGCACGTAAAAGGCACGATCATTGGTTACTGATTACTTGCATTAGTTGCATACAATATTATTTTTCATTATATTAAAACAAAAATATTTTTGTCAACCCATATCAAATAAGATTGGGAGTTGAAGCCAATGTCAAACTTCCGAATATGCTTTTAATTTGAAATATCTTATTTGTTCAATTTGCATTAGAACAAATAAGTAGCTTTATCCAACCAGATCCAGTGGGGTTTTAATAGTTTTTATAAAATTAATTTCTTATATATATTCCGTGTAAATTTCAGATTATATACCTACAATTTACAATTCCCAAAGCTTTGACCAAAAACACCGTCCGTATTTCTAAGTTAGAGAGACACAGCAAGGCGGCGACGCGGCGGAAGACGGCGGAGGATGGGCGATCTACTCGATTGGATTATCTCTTTCTTATTTCTCGTAACCCTTCTCATCATCGTTATTTACCAGGTTTATTTCCCTAACTTATAATTAACTCCCTTAATATATTTTTGTTGTTAAAATCAATTCATAGTCCTTTAAACAAAAAAAAATCTCTGTTTAAAGAAAGAAATATTTTCTCTTAACAATTTTCTTAAAGTTTTGCTTTATTTTTTGTTTATGCAGTTGACATGTTTGGCGGATTTAGAGTTCGATCGCAGAAACCCTTACGATGCATCTACTAAAATAAACCGCATGGTTCTACCGGAATTTGGTTTACAAGGACTTCTTTGCTTATACTATGTCTTAACTGGACATTGGTTCATGGCGGTTTTGTCTCTTCCCCACCTTTTCTACAACATTAGATTGTAAGTCAATTTAGACAATTACTCACTCATTTGATCATTTTTCGAAACCAACCGGGTAATTGGTTCACCCAATCCGATTTAATTTGATAATGTCTCTTTGTTATATCCGGTTAAAGATACATGAAGAGGGAACATCTGGCAGACGTGACAGAGTTATACAACACAAATAAATGGGAGCAAAAGAAACGAGTTTACAAGATTGGTCATATAGCACTCTCCATTTTTATCACATCCTATTGGTACATTTCTTTCTCTTATGCCACTACTAAATACTAATTTTCATATCACCAGATGTTTATAGGAAGCTAAATCCTAATTATTATTTGTTTCTATACTTTTTGGTTTAAGGTTGATCCACTCGGCATTAGGAGACATCTAAAGTTGGAGAAACCACCGGACTTCATCAATTTATTTTACATTTTAAGATCGAATTCCTAATGGATTTTGTTGACCACGAAGATGTTTATGTAGTTCTTCATTTTTATGTTTCAATTTTTGTTGTGGACTATATTCAGAAAGGTTCTTTTTTTCTTGTTTTTTGAGTATAAATTTAATGCGTATCAATGAAAGATTACTTTTCACAAACTTGATGTGTAGTGAGTATACCAGTAAATCGTTTGTGTATGATACATTGAAATTGAAGTTAGATTAGTGGTAAAGTCGTAAGTAGTCTCTAGGGCTTGTTCTGTTCTTAACTGTGAATGATACTTTTGAAACATTTTTGGGAACTCTTGATCCTTGGATTTTATGGTTCTAGGCTAAGATTCTTCCTTTGTGACCTTGTGCCTCTTGGAACAAGTCAAGCTAGTCCAGTGTGCACCGAACTATAGATGTTGTAGATCATGTCAATAGAATCTTTGATGGCTTGTCGAATTAGAGATAGTGATTCTTTCTCTCCAAGAAACAGCTTATGTTTACATTAAGAGACGAAAATCTGGAACTCCACAATTAGAGTCCATAGCATTCATATTACTGAGGTAGCAAACACCATTCATGGTTACTCTTACTCATTTCATGCTCATGATTTTACTATACGGATTATGTGGTTGTGCATATGTTCAGACATATCTGGTCTGGTGGGGTTAATTTGTATTCTTTTACAGGGAAATGTAACTAACAAGAATTATCGTCAAAGCGGTCTCCCCGGAAGGATTAGTGTTTCGTGGAACGCAATATTTTTTATTAAGGGTACGCTAGATCCGGTGATGTTTTAGTGTACCATAGGATGATAGGAAGCTGTGAAAGATGCTTAAAACACAAAAAGTGTTTTGAAGCTCAACTGGGGTGATGTTTTGAGTTTCAACGGATATGAAACTCAGAATAATGTTATATATATGAAGCTAGTTCACAGTTTGGTGACGCAGTTTTCGAAGATTCAATTTAGGTGTCAGGTTATATATATGACCCAACATGGAATCCAATTGGACATTCTTGTATAGTACAAGCTCTGATCGACCTTTACATGAAAAAAATTGAACCTATATTGAAGGAATTCAAATTGTTTAACACAAGGATAATACTGTATAATATTTGGTCAATAGTCATTAAGATTTTCTCTCTTCTTCTGCTTTAGAGAGAGATGTGAACCGATTAATTACATACGAAGCCGGCTAACATCGATCTGATAAATTGATTTCCTGTTTGATACAATGACATGCAAAACCGGAACCATGACCGTCTTTAACAAAAAAATAAGGAAACAAGATGATTCAATCCGAATAAAAAGATGGAAATAATCCTACGTGTGACAACAATGGAACCAACAATAAGACCCTAAAACCCTATAATACTACCATTTTAGTAAAACCCTAATGTGGATAAACCAACCGAACCGAACTTGTTAACAGAAATTACAGAGAAAGATTGGACTTTTTAAGTTAAATTGACATTAATATCGGAATGCTTGTTTCTTGGATCAGAAGCTAAAGAAGTCTGCCATGTATTATTGACCGGAAGAGACGAGACCGAATGGATTGTCCGGTGATCAGCTGCACTAGAGATAGGAATCGCAGCGGTAGGATTGGACAACATGAAATCGTGTTTGTTCTTTTTCTGTTTCTGATCTTGCTGGTCAGTGCCAGCTAGAAAACTTCCTACAACCACCTGTTGATTCAAACACACGGAACTTAATATTCCCGTTAAAGAAACTTGCAGCTTTTTGGACCGGAAAATATCCTAAAAATACCTGAACCGGACTCGCGGCTACTAGTAAACCGCCAAGGCCACCGCCTACTACACGTCCGTCGGGGCTTGCTAACGATACGCTCATTCCTCCAGTTCTACTCCGAGTTCCGCCTGAATCATTAGGCATGAATGACCCGGACAATGATAATATCTCAAACCGACCCTGAAAATTAACACCATAAATCATCAATATTTTATCTTACATTTTCAACCAAATTCGATCGATACGAATTGAATCGCATACTTCGTATGTCAATGTGCCCCCAGAGGAATCAGGCTGACGAAGTGTAACGCTTGAAATAACACCATTTGCTGATAGAACGCAAATAGAACGAGGTCCTTGTTGCGAAAACGAGATTATCTTCATTGTTACATCCTAATTATGCCAAAACACATCATTCAAAACTCGTAAAACATAGAAAAGAAGGACCGGATCTAAAAAAGGTTCCGATGAGTTTACCTCACCAGCGTTGACTGTGATTACATGCGGTGTGAAATTACCACCGACGGAGCAAGGAGCCCATTCACCTACACATAACACAACACAAGAGCTTAACGTCTTAATACAAATATTGAATTTTTATTAATTAATTTGTAATCTAGACTAAAATTAATTATTGAATTCGCTGTCCCTATAACCAAGTAGCCAAGTAGAAAATAGAAATCTCTAATTTTGACCAACATGTTTAACTTATAAAATTGTTACTAAATTAAGCTTAATGTTTGATTTAAGAAGTGACAATTAACAACATGACATATATGTGTAGATACTTGTAGCTTTAGGACACATCCATAACCATAGACAAATTAAACATAGAAACAAAACAGAGAAGATATCTAATTTATAAATTAGAGACCCCACTTGAAATAAAAGCATGCATGAAAATGATAATCCCAGAAAACACCAATTTTTATTTTTTGTCAATAGAGTCAGATTGGTCTACGAAACAAGATTCCGACGAGATTATCTTTTTTTTTTATTACTCTTCTTAAAAATTACTAATAGAAACAGAGGAGAAAACAGAGCAAAGAAGATAATTATTACCCAAATTCTCAACTTGGTGATGATACTTGGTTCTGTTAAAAGTGTTTGTTGGTTTCATTTTGCTACGTTTCTCAGAGGCGGAGAAATCGATGACGTTTGAACTCGGCGGCGGAAGATGCGACGGCGCCGGCGCTGATGAAATTGGCTTAGGAGATAACGCTACAACAGTCCCGTCCGGTCCGTACTTCCTTGGCCGTCCACGCTTCTTCTTGATTAGTCCACCGGAGATACCTTCCATAGCTGCCGTCGTAGTCGTCGCAGTCGAAATTTGCGGCGGCGGAGGAGCTGTGTGATGAGACGACGGTTGTGATGGAGGAGGAGTGACGGAGGCGGGAGATTGTTTTGAGCTTTCTGATCTTTGAGCTACGTGGAAATCTGACGGCGCGTCGGATCTAACCACCGTAATACCGCCGCCGTTACTGGCGGTTGACTTAACAACTTCTCCGGTAGACTCCATATCTAAGACCATTAGCTTCGTTTTTCTTTTTTGGTTATTTTGTTTTCTTTATTTCTTCTAATTTTTCAAGAACCCATGGAAATTTTGGGTTTTGATTAAAGATAAACAAAGATGAGATTAAAGATAAAGAAAAACAAAGAAATATAATTAAGAGCTAGAAGAAGAAAATCAAACTGAAAATATATGGAGTTATTTTTGGAGAAAAAATATATTGCTAGAACAGAGATTGGAAATTAGGAAGGAAATAAGAAAATGTTGGAGATGAAAGTGAGGGAAATTAGATTTATTTATGCTATGTGATTTAGATTGAATAAATAAAATATAGTAATAAGTTTTTTTTTTTTTTTTTAGAAATCTTGACATTAATGGTATTGTATCTTTTTGTAAATAGATTTTTTTTTTCGTTTTATTGTAAAATTTGTTTCATGCTTTCAGCTAATTTCCATCGTAACTTTTTTCCATGTCTGTCCATTTTTACTCCTTTAATATTGAATAAATACAATAATGTGAAAAGGAAATCTTTAATAGCGTGTTAGTATAATACTATAACTCATATTGGATTTATATATTATTTTTTTTTTTCTAGGAATATATAGATATTCGTGTTTTTAGCTGGAATCCGATGGAAAGGAATTAATTAATAAAAACTAATAAAATAAGAAATAGTATAGTAGACAAAATTAAAGTGGGTAACTGGGTATACAAAATTCACTTATTAAAAAAAATATTTGTACAGACAAAGATGGCCTGTGTATATTGATTTCTCTTCAAAAATAATACTCCCTCCGTTTCGTTTTAGTTGTCGTTTAAGGTTTTTTCACACAAATTAAGAAAGCATTAAATTTTCTGTTTTGCTCTTATTAATATATTTTATAAAAAATTTCATTGGCCAAAACATTAAAACTGTAGGGATAAAACTGGAATTTTCACCAAACATTTGCATTGAAAACCTAAAACGACAACTATTATGAAACAAAATTTAAATTTTAAAACGACAACTAAACTGAAACGGAGGGAGTAGTAATATATTTTTTTTTGGTGGGCATAGTAATATATTTTCTTGCCGTGCGTATATATTATTTATAAATATTTAATATTTCCAACTGCAAATACTTTTATTTAATTTTTCCAACTGCAAATACTTTTTCCTTACATAATAAATCGGGCTTTGGAGTAAAGGACAAGTAAAACTAGGCTGCTAAAATAATGAATAAATAAATTAGAATGGAAATAATTTAAATTTATTTAACAAATCCAACATTTAAACAAGGCAAAAGGCAAGAATGACAATTACATGGGGCCAACAAAAACGTATCAAATCGCATAACTAGATAGATTATCTTATTGTCATATATACATTAATCAAACTAATAATAAATTAAAAGAACCAACATCTAAATCTTCTCCCAACTTATCCATTTGTTTCATTTTTCAATGTAAAACAAAGAGCACAATTCTTTCCATTGAAACAACAACATGACATAAACGTGACCGATGATGGGTTAAAAATATGAAATTTTCAATCATGTAACGAGTCAAGAGATGGTTATATGTAGTGTTGCTGTGTTGGTCAAGTTTATCTAGGACGAACATGAATAATCTCTTAATACATGTTCACGTTTACTCATGTTTATAAAACTATACGAAATAATAGTTAAAAAGTTTTGTGGATCACCAGGTCGACTGTGTGTGTGTGTCAACGAGTTTTAAATGAAAACAGACTACTATTGTAGTACTATAATTTTATAATTAATTTGGTGCATAAAAAATGGATAACATATTAATTAAATGGAAACTGGTAGGTGCTTAATTAGCTAAATTAGAAATAAAACACTAAAGTAAATATTTTACAAATTTATGGGAAAACGGCCAAAATATATCATAACTATTTTCATACCATTTTTTTCCAACCTAAATTCTCTGAATTTATCAATCCAAACCTACAATAAATTCAAATAGCAAACCCCTGAACTATGTAATAGTTAGCCAATTCAACATATATCTTGACGGCGTGACTAGACCGTTAAACGCTGCTAGTCAGACAACACATTTTAGACACGTAGCATCTTCGCTAAGTAAAACAACATCATTTTGCACTTGTTGGTTGTTTTCACTTATAGGATCCCGAGTACATCTTGTTTTTATTTTGAGTTTCAAGTAGAAGATGTTATTCTTTGGATATGTTGTGACTCTTGTTTTTTCACTTGTGTAACGGTATTGCTTAATTACAGTTTAATAGAACAAGTTTTTGGCACTTCAATTCTTTTTGACACTCACTTTCTGTTTCGAGAGTGAATAACACGAACCTTAATTTTAAGATTTTCTCTAAATTAAAACGACGTCGTTTTACCTCTATACTCAACACACCAAAAACAGACAAAACATCATTGTTTTGCCAAGCTCATGCCACGAGGTCGCCAAGGTGTTGCTGATTCAGTATCGTTAAACGAGTAAGTAACACCGTTTACAGAAATGTTGAAATTGGCTTCCGGTTATATAATTCAGATTTGTAATTTGAATTTGTTGTGGATTTGGATTGATAAATGCAGTGAGTCAGAGTTTGGGTTGTAAAAAGCCGCACATAAATAGTTAGAGTTAATTTTGGCCGTTTTCCCTACTAATTTACGTTTTAATTTATTGTGACGACGCTTTTATAATATATATTTTCTATTATTTTGAAAGTGTTGATGTATTTTAAATCTTTTCTTAGATTAAAGATACCAATTCTTTCGCCGAAGCTAAATATTAATTTTTTATATATAAAAAAATAATATGGGTGTGATTGTTTGGGCTGTATCTTTATGGTACAGCTCAAAAAAAAAACTTAATGCTCCAATATTAAACCAATCAATCTGTAGCTTTCCTAAAAAATTTCACAGCCCAAAATAATTTTTTTGTTTTTTTTGCTGTAACTCTTAAAATTTCTACAACATATTTTTCTGTGCTTTAAGAGATGTAGACATTTTTTCTTCTCCTATATTTAATTTTTTCTTTACTGCATACTAGTGTACATGATAATTTAAATATATAAAAAATAATCTATTTACAATACTTTTACTAAATTGACAGAAAATTATATTAATTATGTATGTATATATATATATATTTCATTTCATTGTTATAAAATTTTATATTTTAATATATATCTTCACCAAAAATTGTTTAACGTATTTTGAATATACGAAACTTACTATTTATTATATGTTTCATCTGTTATCTTATGTAATATATTACAAATTTTTAAAATTCATATACTTAAATTATAAATCTATAATATTGAACTAACTTTACCAATCATGCTTTACTATTAAAATACCTACAGAAAAAACCTTACAGTTACAGCCAACACAGATACAGCAAAAACTCTACAGCATAAAAATTACAGCTAGAACTCATCCAATCATCCACTATATCCATTGAAAAAACATATATATATATATATATATATATATATGTAATATGTCTAGAAGATATAAGAAAACTGATTCTAGAAATAATAATTTTTTATTACCTTTAGAAATTTTAGATCTTCTGGCCAAATAATAATATTTCGTTTGGTGAACCACTTTTCAGAATTCAATGTTTCTACGTAATATTTTCGTGAAAAACAATATATCTTCATACTTGATTACTTACAAGAGGCGAATCATCTCCTAGTTAATAAAAAAGTTTGATGAACTGAATTCCAATCTGATTGTTAGTACTATTTACTACAGTACCATTTTATATTGTTTCGTGTATTTGTGGGAACCCAAAGGTCTTTTTTTACTTTTACTTTTAATTTTTTATTTGTAAACCTTTTTAAAATGCTAAATATTGTTTTGTGGTTTGCTTTACATTCATTTCTTTCCTTTTACATTTCCCAAAGTCTTCGTCACAATTATAGCTACGCAACTAATTTATGCCCTTTTCAAAACAGGAGTAATAACACAATAGTTTTTTAAAAGGCAAATTTTATTTTGATTTTGGTTTGAGAAGAAAATAATCCTTAATTGAGATAAACAACGCCGGAGGAAATTTGAATTAAATAAAAGATTCATATAGTCGAACGTTACAGTCACTGTAAATATTACCAGACATAAAACTGTTTATTGAGAAAAAAAAAAAACTGTTTATTGAGAAGAATTATTAAAGTGAAAATTTTTGAATAGCATAGCCGCAATTACTTAAATTTTTATATTTCTAAATTAGAAATAATGTAGATCTATTTAAATCAATTTTTAGCTATTCTTTTCATTACATTTTTTTCTAGCTTTTGTAGCTAATAACATTATGGAAAATTCATTTAATTTTCTCTCATTCTCTATAAAATATTTGATGAAATCACAAATAATTAAATTAAAGAAAATGGAAGCAATCATGAATCGTAAAATTATTTGAATACAATTTTATTTGGGACCACGAAGCATCGAGTCAATAACTAATAGAAATGCAAATCTAATTCACAAAAAAAAGGAAGATTAATTAAATAATCCAGAGTTAAGATAAGAACGAACCAACCATATATATTAATAATGTCTTATTTTTTTTATTACGGTGTTTAATAAGTCTTTTCTGTAAAATAAAAAATTAGAGTGATGTGCTCGATGTGCATTTCCTCCTCAACTTTATTTTATTTTATTCTCTTTTCATAAAGAAATAGAGTAAAATATTGATTTCACATGGCTTTTATATTTGGAAAATTTTCATTTATAATTGTGGTCGGCATTCTGACCTAACTTTTTTCATTATACAGCTCACTGGAAAAGATAGTAGAAGCTCTCTTGTCACATTGGTTGACCAAGAGTTGATTAATGCTTCTACACTAAGAGTTCTGGGGTTCGAGTCCCAGATATTGCGATTTATTAACAAATTTGCAGATTAATAGAGGCAAGTGTGCAGAAGATCTCCAGCGATGTACAATTATAGCCGTGCGCCAGGATTCTACGCAGAGAAGGAAGTGTCGCCAGGTCATGGATCATTGAAAGGTATTCATCAAGATCATGAAAGATGAAGTGTAGTCTGTCGTGGATCTACTAAGGGTCGGTAGAAATTGTCAGTTGTAGAATCGTCTATGTAACAGTTCTCATAATTTGCAATTAATAATAAATCTAGATGGAAAAAAAAAAATTAAACAAGATAAAAAAAGGAATATTAATGTATCAATTTTGTATATATATTACACACCACTTGATTTAAAGATTTGACTGAGCCCATTTAAAAAGAGGAGTAAAAGATTTTTGAAGTTTTTTTTTTGTATCTAGGTTTTCTACTTTAACGTATTAATCAAAATCTTGAAATTTTTGTTTAAGGTTCTAA